AAAGTCTTCCACTGTTCCACGGGCTGGTATGCATGCAAGTGACAGTGCTACTAGTACTAGTTCACACCGTACAGCTTTAATCAATCGAGCTACTGGCCCAATGACTGAACGAACAATTTCTTTTGTCAGTCTAAATGGACTTGTAATGTTGTTCCAGTATCATCCATCAGACAGCTAGATTATACAGTAAATGGACAACTACTACTAGATGAGTCGATGTCCTGTCCACGTATCCGTAGTAAGTCCGTCAAATGGGGACATGCAACCCTGAAGCTCAGGATCAATATAGATCGACCTCTATCACTCGCAGATGGCATCCTGCCACGTGGGCACTGTTACAATACATTCTACTACTAACGGTAGTAGGTAGTAGTAGAATTTAAATCTAAGTATAAATTTTCATGAGTATAGAATTTTTTTTTGTTTAAAGTTTTGCTAAGATATCTTTACCAACTCATCTATTTTAACATGATATATGACATGCAAATATATCACTTACGGCGTTATATATATTTTTTAATTTTAGAAGAAAAAACTACTAAATTTCAGTCCAATCCTTTTTTATTCAGTAACGTATTTTGTAGGTCAAAAGGTTTAACTCATTACCACCTCTAAGTATAATAGAAATAGATTTATTGGATATAAAGAAATGGACGACTCACAATCATATGAGGGTACTTAAGGGCAACCCTAGCGTGCGTGGATATAAGCTGCAACTTCTCTAACTTTGTACTCCCTCCATCCTCTAATATAAGGGATTTTGATATTTTACTAGCATTGTTTGACCATTCATCTTATATAAAAAAATTTAGACAAATATAATAAACAAAAAGTTGTGCTTAAAGTACTTTAGATAATAAAGTAAGTAAAAAATAAATAATAATTCCAAAAAATTTTAAATAAGACGAATGATCAAACAGTATAAGTAAAATGTCAAAATCTCTTATATTAGGGGACGGAGGGAGTACCGTTTTGCACACCTACAAGTGCTAGCAAGTATACGGGCGAATTATACCTTCCACAATGACCAACAATCGGCGTTACTGCTAATTAGGACTTAGGAGTACTTTTGACCACCCTTTTCTCATCTCAAGAACCTATTCTGCATGGCTGCATCGCATCAGCATCATGAGACTCTCTACGCTAGTAGTTCATTCTCACTAACAACTGTGCCGTCCTAGCTACACATAGCGACTCAATTACTCCGGCGCCGCCGGGGACGGCGCGTGGCCGGGCTCTGCATGACGCATTTTCTGGCCCCCCTGGAGCATGGTGGAATGGGCCGGGCATACCACAGCGCATGCAAAATCTATCGTCTTTTACTGGCTTTTCTTCGGCACACCACGGCGCCGGAGGCAATGAATAAGCCGGAGAGCACGAGGCTCTGGTGAGGTGCCGCATTTCGACATTTCCCCCTTTATGCGGTGCCACCCTAGCTAAGCCGTGACGATGTATGCATTGCAGCATTGCCGTTCGGAGCTAGAGCACGCAGGCAGGCAGGCAGGCAGGAGTAGTAGCAAAGTGCACAAGCTTTGTCCTGCCCCGACGCCCGGCCGGACGCCGGCCGGGAACACCATGATGAACGCGCAGCGTCACCGCCTGCTCCATGGATCCATCATTCTGCCCTCCCGATTAGTCCCCCCGTCGTCCTGCTCGCCTTTACCGATTGCCATTCCGGACGATATGAGGGGTCCAACGCTACAGTCTACAGATCGACGGGAAGCGGTGATCTGCAACGCCCCGGCCGGGCCGGCCGGCCGCTGCAACGGTGCCCGTTGTCGCCTTGCCCGTGGCCGAACTAACGCGCGCTGCACGCGATCCTTGATTCGATCGCAATGGCGCCTGTCAAAGTACAAGCCTCAGAGGTAAAAGACTCTGGTTAATTACATTGTGTCTGGGACCAAAGATTTCGAGCACGCTTAAAGGCTCAATGGCACGCTACAACTTGACCAGGTCAATGCTTTCTCTCACTTTTGCGGCCGGCGTGACCGCCCCCAAAAGGCCAAATTAGCTTGCTGAATTCACAAAGGTCCCGAAAAGATGGTGGCCGTTTTCAGATTTGCTTTGTGAGCAGCCGAGCATGTAATGTTCGTTTGACTTGCAGCTGCACATTACATCACCGTGGGGACGACGGTTTCAAGGAGATCTTTGGATCGTTGGAGCCGCCGGATGCGTGATCCAACGGACCACGCGAGGTTTTCGACGGCGCAAGCATGGTAGTACATTTTTTTTGCTGTGCGTGAGCAGTGGAGAGCGAGAGATGGGTTGCGGCGTGATGCAATGGACGTGGCTAATGATGAGCTTTATCACACAGGGAGGAGGAATCTTAGAGGAACAAAAGCCAACATCCATTGACATATTGGCAGGCTCAGAAGGGTTCTCTCCTCCCTCTTGTGCCTTTTAATCATAGCATTCCATGGGATCGGAGGGCAACATAAGCACGCCATGTGACAGCCTCGCCACCATGCTTGTTGAGTTCAGCTAGGCGGCGTGTCTATCGGTCTATGTGCGTGCCGAGATAATTTTACCATGCATATGCCTCTGGTCGCCGTCGTAGCTCAGGCAAGTTATCGGTCAGATGAATTGTTGGCCCTTCTGAGAAGTGGCGTTGCCACAGATGGTCCAAGGGAGAAGGCAGGTCGGGTTTTCGTTAACATATTGGGCCTTGATATCTCAAAAGAAAAACGTGTCCGGCCTTGAAGCATGTGGTCTCATAAAGGATCTCACAAACGTGATTTGCAGATGGAAACTATTCGAACTCCGAAGACCATTAAGACACTTGGGTTGTATCACGCGAACTGAGCTGCAACAAACACACACGCAGATGCATACCGAAGAATAAAGTCCAGTTGCTATCCCTCATCTTTACGTCGAGTTTAATTGACATTTCTAAACCTCAATACCGGCAATCTTCACCCTCAATCTTAACAAAACCGTTTAAGTTGGATCCAATGGCAATATGAATGACTGATTTTGCTGACGTGTCATCCTAGTCAGCAAAATAAAAAAATAAAAAAAATGTACGACCCTCATGTAAATAGCAACCTCACCTCTCATCTCTTCTCTTCCCCTTATCTCCTTCATGCCGACGAACGCCGATGTTGAGCTTTGACCTCAGCTTTGTAGGCAAAACAGGAGCTCATCCTCATCGAGCTCTTCCCCGTTGTGCTATCCACCTCCCAACTTTCCATCCATCCTCTGTGCTATCTCTAGCCACGCTCCAACAGCCGCCGCCAATGTCTTCTTCCTGCTCCAGGCCGCGCCCCCATTGACCCCGGCTCTACCTCAAGCACCAGTCTCCACTCTGTTGGCCCCGCCGTCTATCCTCTGCTCCACAACAACGGGCCTTCGCGTCGACCTCGACTCCACTCCAGGATGACATGCTCCACCACCGCCAACCTGTCGGCCCCCAAGCCCCGACACTGCATCCACCTTCTCTGATTCTAGGACCCGACCGCCTCCCTGACCCCTACGTCGGCCATGCACCCACACCGCGACTGCTTATTCGTTGGCCGATGATGCCTTGACCTTGGTCAAGCTCCGCAGCCGACAAAGAGCTTCATCTCCGTCTTTGCCCTGTCCATGACGACATCAACTCCACCAGTTGGCCCGTCAACCCCGCTAGCCACGACACGCCGCATCCTGTCCATCATCTCGGCCACTCATGGATCTAAGGCCGTTGCCCCGGGTTTCTTCTTCGGCTAACTGGCGACTGCTCGTCGTTGTTGTTCTACATTCGTGGTTGAGCTAGAGATGGCAATGGGGCCTAGCTTCTAGTTTTCCCACTGTGAATTCACCTATTATGGGGGTAGGAATGGTTAGAACTAGTTCTCTATGGGAAACTAAATGGGAGGAGTCATGTACCTCTGGGTTTCATGGGCGCGGGGATGATCCTCCACTCCCCGTCCCCATCTCCCGTGGAGACCCGCATAGGGATCCAAGTTTCTTTTTACTTATATTGCTTGTAATTTTTAATAGATAATAATGTTGTATTTTTACCATGTGAATTAGTAGATATATGTTAATACATTAATATAAATGTAAATATATATTTTGCATTGCATATATAATTTAACAAGTATATATTGTTTCAAGTAGAGACGAAGACCATGCGCGAGGATAGATTCCCCATGTGGGAACGGGGATGGGAACAAAGTTTTCCCTCTTGTATCTTGCAGGGATAGGGACAGGAAAGTTTTGTGTCCCGGGATAGGGATGGAAATGCATTCCCTGTTGGTGAATTCATGTTTGCCATATCTATGTGGAGCCCATATTTTTTATCACTTTTTCGTTGACTAGGATGTCGCATCAGCGAAGTCAACCATCTATGTTGTCATGGGACCTAACTTGAATGGGATACCGATTAAACTTGACGTAAATATGAGGGATGGTAAGTGAACTTATTTCTGCCGTAACACTTCGCTCAGCTTGTTGAGCTTTAGCCCATTCAGAGATCTCCTCATGGGCTATTGCTGGGCTTGGTTAAACATTTGGACTGAACTTAGTGATTAGTAGTAGCAGCATTTAGCAGCCGACCTGTCAGTATCCGATCCCTCCATGTCTCCACTTCGCAGGTTTATACTTTCGTAAACTTTTGGTAAATCCTAGTTTCGATAGCTTATTTTCTCGTTCACAACATCAGGAAACGGCTGCGGCTATCAAGGTCAGACACCACCAATCATGCTTGAATTTCTCTCGTCTGGTCACACCGCTCACACGATCATATTCCTACCACCTTCACAAATCACAATCAGCAGCGAGAAGACAAACACCGACTCATCTCGATGACACAATACCACCGCTCAAGTCATCCATTCACACGTCTACGTATAGTACGATGTAGCGTGAAGTCAAGCTAGATAAAGTACTATAGTACTCCTCTGATATTAATAAATCTATATATATATATATTAAGATTAATATTAATATGGAAAATACTAGAAAGACTTGCATTGTGAAACGGAGGAAGAGGAAGTACTAGCTAGTATACGTAAACCGGAAGCAACGAACGAAATATGGCCGTGCCCTTTCTTTTCCCAGCTGATCAAAGTCGCCGCCGCAATCATCCGTGATCGCGACGAACAAACGGTGATCGAGTAAATACATCATCTATTCGTTTCCGCTCAACAACTCAAGGAAGCGTAGGAAAAGAGAAGACTAAAACCAACAGTACATCACTAACTACCACTCTGTAATCTCTAAGCCTATGACATAAACTAATCGAGAAGAAAGCTGCGATCGGTGTGGATACAACTCTTGTTTTCTCCCTTCTCGATCGGTTTTCAGTCGTCGTAGCACTGTCCAACCTTTCCTCGTGCTCTGTTCGGAGAATCTTATCTCTGCCTCGGTCACGCCACAAGAGACGGGCCGGATTAGGACACCTCCGGAGCAGGATTAGCCGCTGGTGGGCCCCGCGGCACGTACAGCGGCGAGAGGAGTAGGCATGGTGGTGATTGCCACCTTTGTACGTGTACGGTGTACCGGCCGGCCTAGATCATGGCGGCAACGAGGGCGGCGACGACGACGAGTGGTAGTAGTGGTAGCGTGAGCTGCGGCGCAGCATGGGCGGCGGCGGAGGAGGCGGTGGAGAGCTGCTCGGCGCCGAGGACGACCATCGTGTCGTTGGTGGACGGCACGCCGGCCGCCTGCGGGTTCTCACCGCCGGAGTACTTCCCGCTGCAACAAAACAAACAAAGAACGCAAGCGAAGCACGGTCAGAATACGGAACCAAAATGAAGTTTGTCAACAGTGTACTACTAACGCGGGTAGTAACAACGGTGCAGATTTTTTTTGTTGCAGAATGCCGATCTGGTTTGACTAGCAAGGCGCAAATGCGTGTGGGCACGGGAACATGGGATGCGGGCAAGAGGACAACAGTGGCAGCGCCATCAATCAATATGGTGATGGCAGGATGGGGCCGTACGCGCGAAACGGCTAGAAAGCCAGTGCAGGCTTGGTGTCATCCTCAGCTTTTGTCGTCCTGTGCTTGGAGGGGGGAGACGCACCCACGCCGCGGCACAGATTCCTCCCGCCTAGCCGTTGCCGCGCTGCTGGGTGGCCGTTGGTTGAATAGTTCTCCTGGCTCGTCTGAATGATCTCACACCTTTGTCAGAGGAACAGAGACGAATAATAAACGTTCCACCTTTTTATCACAGTGTTGACCGTGTTACGCAGGGTGTGTTTAGTTCACACTTTAATTGAAATTGAAAAGATATGTCCGAAAAGTTAAAAGTTTTTGTGCGTAGAAAAATTTTAACGTAATAAAAAAGTTAAAAGTTGGAAGAAAAAATTGGGACTAAACCAGAACGCAGGCTTGCGGCAAGCTCAGTGTGCAGAGGACTGTGTATGCACGGTGAGAATCAGAAAGTAGGCTTTCCGTCGTAGAGTGAGCTATGTAGTCTGTACCGTAGCATTTCCACCGTCAATTGGCCATTGGAGGACTCGTATGCACGGTGAGAGAAAAAAGAAACGATGATTTCTATGTGTTCCTGACATGTCCAATCAAAACCCCAACGAGTACTATCTTGCAAAAATTCAATTAAAAAAAGATCCACTTGATCAAAATTCAATAAAAAAAATCGACTTCGATCTGTCTCATTCCCAAATCAGAAAATTTTCGGGCACTCTACGTTGATTAGTTGTCGACACGTTAAAAACTTGACTTTTAAGGCAGTTCGACCGTACATTTCGCGCCTAAGCGCGCCTAATTGTAAGGGGAGTTGGTTGCTGAGTTATGAAGCTTCGAGCCTTCGAGTACGAATCATGGGGTGGGAGTCGTGGAGAAATCGATTACCTGGTGGTGCTTGGGCAGAAGGTGATGGCGTAGTTGGTGCCGGCGGTGCAGGTGAATGTGGAGGTGGAGTCGTCGTACGCGTAGCTGTAGGCGCGAGGGCACGCGTTCTTGAAGAACTGGGAGTAGGTCGACGGCCGGCAGGTGTTCGGGTTCCCGTACGCGCCGCTGCAGCAGTACTGCGGCGACCCGAACGCCTCGCACGCGCTGCGGCAAGCCACGGGCCCCCCGCCGGGAGCGGCGGCGCCGGTGCCGGTGCTCGCCGCCATGACCCTCAGGTCGGCCGGGCACGCGCCGTTTAGGTCGACGAGGCAGCCCGTGGCCATGCACTTGCCGCCGCTGCCGCCGCCACTTCCGGCCGGCGCTGCGGCGCCCCCGCCCTGCGGCACGATGATCATGGGCAGGTTATACCCGTCGACGAGGCTCACGTCGAAGAAGTCCATGCCGCCGGAGCCGTCGAGCGTGAACTCCATGAGCGTGGCGGGCGGCGCCGCGCCACCGCCGTTGCACTGGATGCCACCCGAGCCACAGTCCCCCGTGGCGCAGGTGAACTTGCCTGTCGCGTCCTCGGCGCAGAGCGTGCGCGCCCACATGCGCCCCGACCAGCTCGCCGGCGCGTCCACCGTCGCCGACGCGCCGTGCGCCAGCGCGAACCCTGTCGTCGACAGCGGCGCCGTGCCGGCACCCGACAGCAGCCCAGGCCACACCGTGTAGCCGCAATTGTTGGTCATCGTGAACGTCGCGGACCACGCAGCTGCAACACACGCAACAATTCCACCGATTCAGCAGCCGCACGCAAGCAAAATCCAACGGCCAATGCCAACCAAAAACACAAGCAAAAACAAAACAATGTGCATAAGCAGAGCAAGGACGCCAAAAGATCCATTACCTGGAAGCAGGAAGAGCAGAGCAAGCAACCGGAGAGCGACATGAGTTGGGCACTGTGACATTTTCTCAAGCTGTTCTGTGTGCAAACCCACAAGGCCTCAACTCAAGCTCTCCTACTCTCACTCTGCTCTTGCAAAATACTAGGCCGCCAGGAGGGTGAAGCAAAGTTGACGGTCACTTGACTTTTATAGACTGCCCAAGGGGAGGGTCGTGCCTACAACCTGCCCGATGAGGGAGGATTAGAGAACGGACACTGCAGAGTGGGCCTAGCCTTCAATTGCCGTGTGCTTCCTGGGACCTTGGGCTATATGTCGGCAACTCTCGTTGCCGACCTTGTATCTTGTCCTTGGCTGCTACTACCCCACACGTCCTGCCTCGTTCTCCGTTCCTGCCCAAATATCTCGAGCAGGTGAGAGAAGCGAGTGATCGAGTTTGGGAAGATTTGTTTGCTCTCGTAGGCACATTTATAGAGGAGGTTTTCTCGGGGTTTGGTGGGCGGTGGGTTGGACGCGGGGTTGATGGCGCAAGAGAGAAGAAAACGAGCAGGGAAAGAAAGCTATCTCAGGTTTTGTTTTCCTAGCGTGTTGTACTTTCACCCGCCTTATTTTTCCAGCTCCGTGGAATTCAATTTACGTATATTTCTTCAGGGGGAAAATGCGCCACCCTTTAATCCTCCATAACAAGGCACGACAGTATTTGTTCATACCTACGGCAAGATATATCTTGATATTGTTAAAAAATGTTCATTCTAAAAAATATTGTTAAAAAATCAGCCTGGTCCTAGCCCGATAGAAAAAAAAACTTTTGCGGCATTTGCATTACAGGTTATTTACGTACATTAGTCCCGGCTGACAGGTGTATATAGCCATAAATTACAAGGATATCCTCGTTGCTAGATGGTATTTACTCCATTTTAAAATAAACCAACCTAAATATATGTGATATTTTCTAGCGCCATAAATATGGATAAGGGCATCTTCAAATCAATCATAAGAGGAAACATCCTATCATATCTTAATTTTGTTTATTTTAGGATTAAGGGAGTATGATATTAGATGGTATCACATCTGGTAATCATCAGTATCAGCTTAGTACTATCGATACCACCTATTAATACTCGTCGGTACTAGAACGAGAGTGAATGGTAGCCCTTCTTGTCATTTATTGAAATTACATCATATTTAGAAAGTTTAGTGCAGAAATAACAAAACGCTAATGGGAAAATTTTAAAATAAATAATATCCTTGGAAATTTTCTATATATAGACTTTCTATATAGAGAGATTTTATATATATGGACTTTGAATATATAAACTTTTTATATATAGATTTTGTATATGTAGATTTTATATATACACTTTGTATATGTAAACTTTATATAGAAATTATATCTATAATTAGAAAGTTTACTGCATAAATTTTACTAGAAATAAAAAATACTAATCATCATCAGATATTTTTCAAAAAAAAGTATAATCCAATCTGAACAAACCTCCTAACAGAAAAATGATAAAAGGAAAAGTTTATCTTTTCCCATCGTGTGAAAGGAAAATGAGAAACCAGAAAACACATTTTTTTTTGCGCGGCTTCATTTTTCTTTTTGTCGTTTTCTGTTCGCTAGGTTCGCCGCTAGCGAGCGTTCGCGCATTAGACATTCCAGCACAGCATGGTGCTTGGCCACTCCACGACTCTCTAGGGCCTTGTGTGTCGTTGTTCTCCCCCATGCCTCGTCGTTTCCCCTGTGGCACGGCCCATAGATATTTTGTGAATACTTTTTTTTATATAAATGTTTTTAGCAATCTAAAAGCAAAAGCTGAAAAATAAATTTCGACAAAAAAAACCCTCAAAATCAACTTTAAATTTTAAGGTTAAAAATTTAAATTTTGGCTGATAAGTATAAGCCTAAGCGACCATTTTGCAGTGGCATCCAAATCGATCTCCTACAAGCGCTCTGTAATGCTTGTGATTTCCATGTTGGATAATCCTACAAGCATTCGCTACTGTAATTGAGATCCCCGACAGTACTGCATGTGCAGTACTGCTCACTGACATTTGGGCCCGATGGGCTGTGGGGCCCACATGTCAATGAGCAGTACTACACGTGAAGTACTGCAGACGACCTGCATCCTTCACTACCGCCGCCCCAACACAGCGCAGAGCAACCATTTCTGTTTATAGTGTCATTCAAAACAACGTAATATTTTTGGTTCGCATTTGTGATTTCCATGTTGACTAATCATATCAACGGATAACAAAAGAGTAAATTATGTTGGTGGTACACAAACTATTAGATACATGCAATCTAGCACATAAACTTGTAAAATGCTTATTTTGATATACAAACTTGACAATTGCAAGGCCAAAAGAACAAAACAAGATCAATCTTGCTAATTTATGTATTAATTAGTATGCTACATAAACACGTGCACGAGAAGAAATGATGCAAACGGGAGAACAAAGAATAATAAAGCACACATTAATTTTAGCATGTCTCATGCCTACCTCGTGTCTGCACGTCACATCCTAATCAGTGTCTAACTTGGTAAAATTGCTATAACATGTCCCTTTAGCCTTGTTTTACACACATCCGATATCTTTATAAAAAAAATAGCGTTTGACAAGTTCATGTACTAAAGTGCACCCACCTGACAAGTTTATATACCACCAATGTAATTTACTGATAACAAAATTAGGAAGGAGATAATTTCACCGGTTTCTTTCCTAATAAGCACTATTATAGAATCATTTTTTCCGAACAAGACTTCATCCAAATCGCAGGCACACCATAACTATTCTTGCATACAGAAATCACTTCCTCGAGATCGTTTCAAGGGCAACATACAAAAATCTACTTTCACATACCCACTTGCGATAATAGATGCATTATCGTCTGCGGGTCTGAAGGGGCCGCATGCGGACAATGGGGAGAATAAGTAGGCCCCATGCATTCTTTCCCGCACCTTTTTTTTCTAATTTCCCTCTTTCTCTCCGCCACATATTTTTCTCTCTCTTCTCACGCCATAACTCCTCTCTCATCAACTATTCCCATTCCCTCTCCCCCTTCTCTTCTCTGGTGGCTGAGGTGGAGGTGGCGGGAGCAAGCGAGCGGCGGCGGGCTCGCTCGGGAGCGATGCCACCGCGTGCAACGATGGTGGCGACGAGCTCGAGGGCGGCAGATCCGGTGACGCCACCCTTGGGAGGGGTGATGATGACGGTGGTGACATGCGCGATGGTGAGCTCGAGGGGATGGGAAGCTAGTGTTTTGGGCAAAAAAAAATTGAATTTTTTTTCACCAAAATAACTTTTTGCAATCGGCCGGCTTTTGCGCTGGTATGCAAAAATACAATTTTCACATGTGTTTTACTTTACCCACATGCAAAAATACATAGCTGTCTATAAAAATCGATTTTAACTTCATGGAAAAATCGTTTATACATAGAAGTGAAGAAATGAATAGATAAAAGGATTAGAGACAAATTGCTGTGATTGGTGGCAATAAATTAACTTAGAATCCTAACTGGATTAGTCCCGAGCCCCACTAGTGCAGTTAAATAGCGGAGAGGCACGAGGAGAAGACCTAGCGTCAGCAACAACTAGTTGATCAAACCAGCGATCTTGCTTCTACTTTGTCTACCTCTACGTCAAATTAAAAACAGAAGCAGAGAAGAAGGAGAATGCGTCAATGACATCTCAGTCGATCAGTTATCATCAAAATTCTGCATTACTGCATTAGGGATGTTAGACAAAGAAATTTTATGTATTAAATTAAACTCCAATATTCCACGCAAGCTAGCTGCTAGCCGCCACGAGCTGCCCATGAGGGCAGCAGAGCCGCAGAGCAACTAAAATTGAAAGAGCTAATCAATTAATCAGTTGTGGATTACATGTGCAGACCAATCGTCCTGAACCATGAACATTCCAGCCTAACATGGCTTTAAGGCTTTATGCATGCATATACCCGACCAGGCACGATCCTGAAAGCTGCAATAATCCATCGTGTATTGACAGATCGATGGACTGAGAAGGATGGTCACATGCTTCCATTCATGTGCGCCACATGTCGTGCACCTTATCCGTAATTTTTTAGCAATGACGCATGCTAATTGCTATAGCATCGATCACGCACGAGGTATCGCTACGAAAAGTTCGGCAAACTGAGAAAACGACATTGATTCTAGGATCGAGCTGAGAGCATGATCAAGATCGACTGTCAAGGTACAGCACAAAAGTAAGAGGAAGTGCCAGAATAATTTGGCAGAATAAACAGGAATCCAGTTAAGGAATTGACCATTACTTAGTTATTTGGATGGATAAACCAGCTTTTGCGACTTCTGCACAGCTCCTGCTACTTTTCAAGTTCCATTCCACACACATTGGATTTTGCTGTCTTTCTCTACCGAAGAAAAAAAAAGGCTTATGTGGATCCAGCCAAGAATGACACATCTCACCCCGTTGATGCGTTGTATGCACCGAACTGAAAAGCTTAGTTGGTCTTAGGTGCGAAAACGTCGAGAAAAACCGTATGCTTTTGATGGAGATGTGTACCCTGCAGATAACAAAAATGGAAACAACGGTTGCAGTTGTGACTCACTCAGACACTCGGTGATTCCTAGCTGACTCGGCCAACTTGCGAGGCGCCAGCCGCCGTCTTTTTCCAAGTGTTTAGCTAGCTTTTCAACCACGTGGCTCCAGACGCGAATTCTTGGTAGTTGCATGCATCACATTGCATGGAAATTTGGAGATCTTGCATGGTATTGGAAGCCATGCAAAGGGAAGGATCTGGCTGACTCACTCTACTTTTGCAACTACCAGTCTGCTATTAGCACACAAATTAAACTGATGACTCATCTCCGCTGAGACCAGCAGCAGATCTAGATTCATGTCTCCTTTTGCCGGAAAGGGAACTACCAATCAACAGATCGTCGGCATGGAACAGAGAGATCCACTCCGTTGTGATTCTGACTGACCAAACCTAGTGGAGGATGACAGAAACTGACGAGCTTTAGCAAAGGGGAGAGAGAAATTTCACGGCAGAAACCAGTGGAATGAATGGATTATCCATGGAGGAGTACGGCGCCTTTGATTGACGAACTGTATATCAACGTGGATTTGTGTGGGATAAAGGTGGATTGGCAGTCAAGCGGCTTTCAGTTCAGGCTTCTGTTTGGGGCCTTTCCATGACAGAAAAAGTTGCTTGCCGGAACATGGTGGCCATGTCTGAAAAACATGCTGCGGTGTCGATCTTGTTTCGGTATTATTTTTACCCAACAAAATGAGATGGCTATACGGATTATCCAGTTGACGGATCAGAAGAAAGGCACATAACTGTTGCATGCTCTTTGCTGGTAGAGGTAGTTGTCAGTTGTTACTTTATATAAGTCATATATGGACTGGTGGATCAATGGATGACTGCATGCAAAATGGGTCTCAATATCAGGTCTAGCCATTTACTCGTAGAGTCACAAATAGGTGATCTAGTAGTGCTGCAACGGGCAAGAAAAATTCGTCGATGGAGAATGAAGCTTACTCTTATAGTTCTTTCTTCTTTTATGTTTGTGTGTTCTTCATACTATTAAGGTTTAGAGTCTAATAACTCGTGTATCTTTTGGTTATCAGTATCCTTCATGTGTATAGAGGCCGGATTAATGAAAATCTATTTTCTAAAAAAGTTGTTCTCTCTTTTCTTAATTATAGCGTTTTTTTTTTCTTTCAGTCGCTTCTGACAAGAAGCGGTCTCTTCCCCTTAAAAACATATTGCTGGCCTGCTGAAGTATTTCGATTATATTTGGAAAGTGATGTTGCAGCCAAACTAATTTAGTTGTACGAGAATAGATTTGTTCCGATTCAGAAAAAGTATCTCGAGATACCGGTACCTCACAGTACTAAATCGTTTCCGATCGTTCGATGTAGCTGGCATGCATCCTTCGACAGTTGGTGACTTAGACTAACTCTTCTGTCCTGATCCATTTTCATATATTGCCATGCTTAACTGACGGATTTCTTTTTACAGTTATAAAAAACAGGGGAACAAGAACCGTGGATGCCTCTTGTTACACGAGGCGCCTACAAATCGGACGCCCGATTTTTTTAAAAAAAATCAGACGTTGTTTCACTAAGTAGATCGAAAATATTTCACTAAGTAAATCGAAAATGTTTCAATCTTGTAAAAAGCTGAAACACAACCACTCATAAAACATTTCGCTACAACGTATGAAACAACGGTTTCCAAAAAATCAAGCATTGTTTCACCCTATATAAACACAATGTTTCAGCAAATAGCGAAAGAATGTTTCAATTCTTAAAAAAGGTGAAATACGGTCAGATTGCTAGATGAAATAATTTGGTTTAATATATGCAACAAACGATTTAAAGTCATTGCAACATTTAAATCCCGTGTACATCAACAAACCATGTGTCCATTAAGATAAAATTATTAAACAGTATCAAAAATCCACTGAAACATTTGATCCATATATAGTGAAACATCACGAGTACACTAGCTGAAACATTGTTGGTGAAACAAAAAAACAGATCCCTCTAATAAGGCGTTTCCGTTATATCTGAGCGGTTGTTGCAACGGGGTGCGTGTCTGAGAGGCACGGCGTGGGGGCACCCGATTTTTACTCCCCCCCCCATCGGACACCCGATGGGAAGGATTTTCCATTATGCATGCTTTTTTCACCTTCAGCGCAAAAAGTTCCGACAGAGTACGGGTCGAATAAGAGCTTAGCTAAGGCGGGTGATTCACGTTGTCATGATAAGTTTAACCCCACCCACATCGCAAGACATATTGATGCCTCGATCTGGATGGCTCGCAAAAATGATTGCCGTTGCTGACGCGATTACGATTATGTACAATTCTTTACTTGTATCTGCATGTTTGGGGACGTTGCTCGAGACAAATATGAAAGTAGAACGGGCAACAACAATGGTAACAGTAGCTATTTGAAGCCTGCATGGCTACAAGGTTTGCTTTGCCATCCGTAGTGGTCCCACACTTATGCTCATGGCACACGGAAATGTTGAAAACATGGCTAGTATTGTGTGAGTTCCTTTAGTGAAAGTACATAGAACTGATGCCTAATTTGCTACCGCTGCCAAATCTTATAAGAGAAGCTTTCTTCGCACAAAGTTCCGCACCAAACGAAAAGAAGAGAAAGAAAGGTTTCTCTTCATTACTTGGTAACCATATCTGGCTATGCCTACTTAATTAGTACTACCTCTGTTTTATAATGTAAGTCATTCTAATATTTTCCACATTCATATTGATGTTGATGAATGTGAAAAATACTAGAATGACTTACATTGTGAAACAGAGGTAGTACTTATATAAGGACATATATATATATATGTGTGTATATATATGTGTATATATATGTATATAGGACACTCATATGGGGCACCATGGTGCCCGGGCACCATGATATCTAATGCACAAAATCACTCAAATTTTTTAAAATTTTCAAATTGTGAGTATATACCTAGTTATAATAATTCGATTTATACCTATACCTATCAACAAAACAACTCAAATTTAACTTTATTTCACAATCCATGATTACATACCTAACTAATTATATGTATGGATGCTATATACCTAGAATCAAAATCTAACAAAAACAAGTTCAAGTTCAGGTTAAACTTGCTTTGAACTAGTTAGTAAAGTAGTTAATGTTAATACCTAAGTAATTGAAAAAGTTTCATACTCATTTAAATTGGGTATATAGTCAATTTCAACAATGGTACCCGGGCACCATGGAGCACCAAACAAATTTACTATATATGTATATATATATATGTATGTATGTGTGTATATATATATATATATGTATATATATATGTATATATATATATATATGTATGTATATATATATATATATATATATATATATATATATATATATATGCTACGAAATATCATACTGTTTAGTATATTAGTTTGAAGTATTTTCGGTATTTTTATACTGGAAAAAAAGGCATCAACTATAAAAAAAAGAAGGCATCAAAAGGTTGTATTGCACTATTGTTGTAGGCTAACACTCATAAAGACATGTCAAAACAGACAGTACCTTGCAGAATGTTTAACACTACAACTTGAGTCATCGGCATTGTCCACTGGAGAACAGCCATTTTTCTCTGCTGGAATTATAAAGGGCCTCCATTTTTTTCAGACGCTTCAGAAGACATACATACATATTTACCAAAAATGGACATATAATACAACACAAAACTATCAGATCAATTCTCAAATGTGCACCTCTCCAGATTATGGCGTTGTCAGATCAGACAATAATATGGCATACCATCATTAGCAATAACAAAACCCTTAGTCGTCATCCTTGAATTCCCTGGATTACCAATAAAGAGCACAAAACTACTATAAGTCATTTGATTTTTTTTTCTAAGTCAAACTTCTATAAAATTGATCAAAATGTTGTAACTCTTATAACATTAAATTAAATTAATTAAAACTAACAATTAATATAATTTAATAGTATTTTTGTTTGGTGTTAAAAAAATTACTATGTTTTTCTATTAATTTGATCGAAATTAAAAAAATAAAAAGAAAAGTTCAAAACATATTATGATATAAAACGGAGAAAGACCATGTTCGGTCTAAAGGCCCAAAAATTACTATGTTACCCGACGACAAGGAGAATGATCTGCATCATGGATCTCCATTTTGTATGGTGCAGATCGATACTCCAAATCCATAGAAAATAAAATTGTACTCCCCAAACTAATTCAATGGACCAGTTAACCCCCTAAACTATTTTTTGGCTCATTTTATCCTATAAACTATTAAAAATGGTTTGTTTTACTCCTTAATAACATTTCACTTTTTTTGTCACTCTTTATACAAGTTGTATTTTAAGCTGAAATTTGTTAGAGCCATAGATAACACCATTACCAAAGTTCAAAAATATTTTGATATTTTTCATGCATTTGCTCGAACTTTAAAACTTTGATGTTTAACTCAGTTTGAAGTGCTTTCAACCTATGTAAGCAATGAGAAAAAAAAAGTGAGACGTAAGTTGTGGATGCATCTATATTCTACCAAAAATTTCAGTGCAAAATATGACTTATACGATGAGAACTAAAGAAGAGAAATAGCGTTAGGGGGGAGGGGGTGAAGTTAACTGTTTTCAATAGTTCGGGGTGTAAAATGAACCAAAAATAGTTTAGGGGGTTAAGTGCTTTAGTGAAATAGTTCGGGGGAGTAAAATGAACTTTTTTTTTCTTTTTTATATAAGTAAAGATACAGCTGAACATCAAATGCAATTTCATCTAATTAAGAGATAATCCATGAAATGCCATTGACAAGCGTCTAAGTCCCAGAAATGCCATCGAGAAGTGTGAGTTCCAAGAAATGCCATCGTACAAACGATTTTGTCCCAAAAATGCCATCGCCGTTAGGGTTCCGTCCATTTCATGCCGTTAAGTTCTATAGGATGAACAGTGTATTTAACGACATGGAATGAACGGAACCCTAACGGCGATGGCATTTTTGGGACAAAATCGTTTGTACGATGGCATTTCTTGAAACTCACACTTGTCGATGGCATTTCTGAGACTTAGACGCTTATCAATGGCATTTTATGGATTATCTCTTTAACTAAAGCCATGTGCAGTTTTGTGGGAAATTCGATTGGTTGACTATAATACCATATAACATAGTCCTTCCGTATTCATGTTCATCTATTTTAGGTATGTCAAGTATTATGTCTGTTCATTCAACAATCATGTTTATAAGATGTTTACTGAATCAAAATAGATGATACTCGTCATAAAACGCACCTGCGGTCAAGATAGCGTGGTTGAATTCCAGAGCCTTGACATGTGGTGCATGTCAACGAGCCAACCCCATCGCAGTTGACACAGTTTGATACTTCAGTCTCGCCTCCGCCGATCACTACAGTAACTGTTCCCTTCCCGGTGCAAAACCTGCACACCTCTGAAAGAAAAATCAACGATTTATGCTCAATATTCTGATCTACTATATACGCTGTTACAGAGGAGAAAAAATAGCGCATCAATCGGAAGAAGGGGCAATGTCACATACGTGCCCCAGAGCCACTGCAGGGGAAGCACGGCTGTGTGTTATCCCTCTTCGCCTGCATCCACGAAGGAAAAAAAAATGGTAAACACCTTCCAGTTTCAATCAACCTGTTTCAACTCCAAGTATCTAACTGTGAAATTTAATCAACGAAAGTTTTGAAAAAAGGAAATTCAGATTCTGGCTGTGAAGGGGACACAATTTGACACGGACTGAATCAGGGGAAAAACCGAATGACTCACGGCATTGTCGATCTGTGTCTCGTAGAACACCGGGATACCGATGCCGATGGCAACGCTGACGACGCCGACCGATATCGCCACGATCTGCGGCCGCCAAACGAAGATGATCGATCGCATCACATGAAGAAAAACACCGGACCTCCGATTGAGAGGGTTCTTGGCATACCGTGTTCTGGTCGAGATCGACGGCCTGGATACGAGGGTAGCGGCAGCCGGCCCTTCGCCGCCGGGGCAGCGCCGCCATGGATGGCGTGGAAGGAGTATATGAGAGGAACGAGGAGTATAGGGCTGTGAGCGGCGAGGAGGAGGTGGCCATGGCGCCTGAATGCGTAACCTGGTACAAAAATCAGCAAGAGAATCAATAAACAGGATGCAAGTTTCATTGCAGATAACAGAAACCAAGCGATGATGCATTGTACTCTAACCTTGTCTAATGGGCTGGCTACTGCCTCTGATCAATCTGAAGAACTCCTAAAGGAGTAAAGATGAACAGCTCCTGCTGCACATCAAGGGAGGCAGCAGTGCATGGAAGAGAACATGCCAAATCTCTGAATGGAACGCTAAGGTATACCTGTGGATAGGAGAAGATGAAACTATGTGAAAGACGAGATATGGGAGAGCGGGTGTTCGTGGTCATGCTTGGTCATTTCGGATATGGATATTATGACATCGTGGAAGTTTAGCAGCCTCTCAAAAATTTTCAGGTTGAGATGTGGCCTGCCCATCTGGACCGACCCATCACCAGGGAAATCCGAATCTGCCTCATGGACCGGCATGGAGCTCATAATCTTGTAAACTCAAGAATAACACAATTTCAGAGCAAACGGTAATGATTTTACAGATAGACTACAAAACGGTATACCGTTGCAATGGAATAACTAATGGGTGCTAACATCAGCACGATATCGTAGGTACAGTATCTAGTACCTTCTGTACTAAACATGATACATCATAGGTACCATGCTGACATCATTATGGTATCGTAGATATCAGGCTGATGTCAACATGGTATCGTAGGTAGGTACCAAACATGAAACCCCATAGTATCAGCTGATGTCATCATAACGTAAATTATTCTGTTGAAACGGTATACTATCTTGTGGTATTTCCGTTTTAAGTTTGTGGCACGCATGGTGAATGGCCTGAGAAAGGGTCTATTGGTATATACATGAAAGCACCTGAAACTCTGACTTCCATCAACTTTGAAAACTCTACCATACTTAAGAAGTTCAGATTGTAGTGGACTAATGGTATGTCTGAATCCTTTTGTTATAAAGGGTAAATCTGTTTATGTTTCAAGGGAAGTTCTGAACTCAGGGCAGCTTCTCAAGTAGCATTGCTGTTCATTCTCCATCTACACGGCTCCACCAGAGTACCAGACCATAGCCACAATTTGCAGGAAAAAGAATTGCAATTTTCAGTTGAAAATTGTGCTTCTCTGATTCTTAAGCTTTGCACAAGTTTCTTGGTTCCAACATAACGTAACGGCTCAACAAGGTTGATCCACCGACGCCCTTTGCAAAGATTGACAGAAGGCTGGATCCTGTGAATACTTTCCAAGATGCATGTATGTTTGGTAGGCTTCATACAAATAATAGAAATCAAATATAACACCTGCAAGAGTTTACTGAAAATCCAAGATTTTGTTTTATATAATTTACTGAAAATCCAAGATACTGAAAGTAATTATTGAGTAGTGTTAGCTAAGCTGAATTCACTGCAGGAGTTGATGGTGTCTTCAATTTTAAGCCAAAACAGTCACCTTCTTTCTTCTTTCAATTTGATAGAAACACTTTGGACTACTGCACCTTTCACTTCAAAATGTGGTATCTCTGTACTATTAACAGTGAGCAATTCTTTTTTTTTTTCAGTTTTTTTCTTTTTGCTGCTTAATTACTTCAGCCTTTACACATCAGCATATCATAATCAAATCATTTTAGCAAGCAGTACACATGTTTGATGGCTCATTGACGGCACCTGCCATCTCGGTTCTTCAGTTACTATTCCTACCTGAAAACTTCACTGCTCACTCCAGAATTCAGATATCAGACGAACCAACTACCATATTATCGACTGCACATGCAGTACCGATCAAAGTGAGTCCGAAGATTTGCTCGGATGCGTTTACCCAAAAAGATTTTGGAGGACCAACCCCAAAACATGCGCCATTTCCTTATGTTATCCTCTAACCCCCCACAAACTGTTGGTTCAGCCATAGCTATCATTCTTCCACTAAATCTCATCACACACTCCACACCTTTCTGCGAAAAGATCACAGACATCACCCATCAGCGAACCTTATTGTTCCCCCATCCTTCCTGGGCATTGCATAGAGCAATTATCCCTAGACCTGCCAGTGCAAATTGCAGAGAGAAAAAGGCATCAAAAATCCAATCAAGCCACCCAATTCCATGCTTTTCACTTTACTGTGATTACTGAGCCAAAAGCTTCTTAGTAAGCCGACTCTCTTATGCTATAAGTAGAGCCATGGAGAGAGAGCTCAGATTCCCCCCTTCTCTTCAGTCTCTTCCTCCTAATCTTGATACTAGTTGATGGGTGGTTGACGTTTCATCGAGCTATCCTAGCTCAAGGCTTCTCTATCCCTTTCTACTCTCCCACTCCTCTCTAACCACTGTACTATATACTAGCACTGAAGCTGGACACTGATACAAAATTCCGTACTAATATTGACAACTGACTACCTATACTGGTGTGGCACCATTATATACCTCTTCTCCCGCCTGCCATTACTAACCACCAGCCGGAGCTACATTGCTTCGAGATGATGGGAATTCAGAGAATTTGCATCGTTCTTGGGATGCTTTTTATACTTGTGAGAGGTAAACCGATCACCATGGAGTGATGATGCTGTTTCGGTGAATTGAAGGAAGTTGCATGAGTTCTTGTAATGGTGAGCTGAATTGACGTTGTTTTTGATGATGATGCAGAGGGTGGAGCTGTGACATTCACGTTCGTGAACCGGTGCACGGGGACGGTGTGGCCGGGCATCCTGTCGAACGCCGGGAGCGCGAGGATGGACCCGACGGGGTTCGAGCTGCCGCCCGGCGCGGCGCGCGCGGTGCCGGCGCCGACCGGCTGGTCCGGCCGCCTGTGGGCGCGCACGGGCTGCACGCAGGACGGCACCGGGAAGGTCGTGTGCGCGACGGGCGACTGCGGCTCGGGCACGCTGGAGTGCGCCGGCCGCGGCGCGGCGCCCCCGGCCACGCTGGCGGAGTTCACGCTCGACGGCGGCGGCCGCAACGACTTCTACGACGTCAGCCTCGTGGACGGGTACAACCTGCCGTTGCTGGTGGAGCCCTCGGGCGCCCTCGGCGCGACGGCGACGACGTGCGCGGCCGCCGGGTGCGCGGCCGACCTGAACGCGCGGTGCCCGGCCGAGCTCCGCGCCGTGGGCGGCGCGGCGTGCCGGAGCGCGTGCGACGCGTTCGGCAAGCCCGAGTTCTGCTGCAGCGGCGCGTACGCCAACCCGAACACCTGCCGCCCCACCGCCTACTCCCAGGTCTTCAAGTCGGCGTGCCCGCGCTCCTACAGCTACGCCTACGACGACCCGACGAGCACCTTCACCTGCGCCGGCGGCCGCGACTACACCATCACCTTCTGCCCCGTCGCCACCCCAAGGTCCGTACTAATTTCACTTCATACGTCAACCCCAACCTAACCACTATTAGTACTAATTACTCCAGCTTGCTTCAATTAACGCTTGCTTTCGCGTGACGTTATTAGCTCGGTTAAGTCATAAAGCGTTTGTGATTTGCATGCACCACTGCACAAGTAGGTGAGTGAGCATGCGTCGGCTCGGGGACACGATAATTAATCGGAGATACTTAGCACGGAGTGGTTCTGCTACTAGTAGCATTTTGGGTTGCCTGGTGCATTAGTGACCGAGCAATGAGTACGCCATATCACCTTATCTCATATCAAAATGTATGCAAGGAAAATGTGTGCGAGCGCGGTGTCCCGAAATGTCACGCTTCTAAAAATGAAAAAAGAAAGATTATATGGGGACAGTGATAGTGAGATGTTTGGAAGATAATATACGATGTGATGATTAGCCTGGAGTTAGTATATGGAAGGCGCATGATTCAGCTTGCACTTTCAGTGGGTGCTTAACTTGTTAAGTGAGGTTTGACCGTCCCGTGTAGTTTTCTTTTACTGCTGTCGGTTTGCATATCAACGTCATGGCAGGGTCGGTCACTGAGTCTAATATTTTTGCCAAGTAGGAAAAGGAAAAGTGAATGGACTTAACACACGACACACGAATACGGAGGTCATGGATGAGACAGTAATCTTTAAGCAGAACGGATAAAAAGATCAAGGCAAAGATAGTGTTTCGCTTTTCAGTGATAGTATACGACTACTTGATGTTCTTTTCACTGTCTTTTACCACACGCGAACTCATTTTTTTCTCCTGTGGCAAACAGCCTGAAATCTGCGGGAGGAACGACGACACCGACGACGACGGTGCCGGGCGTGACCACGGACGCCCCACCGGACATGGCAAGGCCGATAGGCAGCCAAGGCGGCGGCGGCGGCGGGGGCGCCGGCCAAGGCGTGATGCTGGGCGACAACTCCTGGCTCGCCAGCCTCGCCATGGGCGACGCGTCGTCCTCGCGGAGAGCCTCGCGGCTGGCCCTCCTGGCCGCGCCCCTCGCGCTGCTCACGCTCCACCTGCCGCGGCTATAGCGGCTGATCACGTACGCGAAAACCACCCGAAATTTTTTTGGTCAAAAGGGCAGGGGGATGCGGGGGACGTCGCACGATTGCACGGGCCACCACCAGTCCACCAACACATCATTACCACCAAGAGCGCGCGAACGCCGAAACGGTGTGCGCTTCGGTCGCTTCTGCTGCTGCCGCCGCGGCGCCGGCGGCAGCGGGTGGCCGTGCGCTCGAGTGGTGTGTTTGCCGGTGTCGTGCACGGTGTGGGGCCAGCGAGCTCGGTGTGTGGGGGCGATCGGGTGATTCGGTTTGGCCAAGATCGGCGTAGCGCCATTGTAAAATCCATCAGATTTTTTTTTTTTGGGTTCTTCTTTCTTTTGGTTTGCGCATTTGTGTCTCGCAGAAAAGAAATGTACAAGATTAATCCCACAGATTAAGAAGCAAAATGATTATGAACGCACTCGGCCGTCCTGTTTCCCGGGCTCTAATCGTAGTGGCGAACCAACTAACATGATCACGGTTGGTTGACATCGTTGTTAACGCACTGGACAGATACCTGCCACGTTATTACAGCTCTAACCCACTTGTACTATCAATATGGCTGCATACCCCTACAGTTTTCGTAGACGTGGCCGTCCCATTATTGCTGCCACTCTACTACAGAAGACTCGACCTATGGCTACACTACAAGTACTAGGACACGTATGCTCAATGTTTTCTTTTTCTTCTCATTTTTTGCCGCTGATGATTGATTGCTAGCAAGGTAGCTTCATGCATAGTGATTCCATACCCCAATCAAAGTACCAAACCTCTGAAAGAAACTAATGGCATGATAATGGCCTAGGTGTCTGCATGGGCTAAAATACTATACTACTCCAAATGTATACTAAAGTCTACAACATATAGCGTACACTATTTGTCAGCTGACGGCGCAGGATTTGGTGATTTGCACATGGGATGTGTGGTGCAAGGGCGAGCGTGGTGGGGTGGAGATGGGCTCGCTCGATCGGCGGCGATAGGCGATGGCCGTCCGCTCATTTGGTCCACTGCTTTCGAGTGAAGCGAAAGGAAGCATCAGTGCCTAGCTACGAACTGCGTGCGTAATGGACTGTGTGTGTGGTTGATATGGTATTATGGTCTACACATCGGATAAGCCGTGCGTCTGATGACCCGTTCTTCGTCAGATTGATGCAGATCGATTGGGTGTTCAGGCTCGTGATTAAAACATGCCCCGAGTAGTTTATGTACTACTTCTGTCAATGCATAGCTTTAGGTACATTTCTAATCATGCTGTATACGAATCCGATTTGACTGCTCTTGTGTCTACCGTATACTACTAACTGCCGGCCTAGACAACTAGTTGGTTGCATGAAAGCTCTTACCTAATACTCCTATATCCAGGAGTCACTTCACCAAACTCTCACAGAGAAACTTCGCTTTCAGCTTGCTGAGATCCACATGCACCAGAAAGAGGTGAAACAATCACGCGTGCGCTTAGCTTAGTGCTCAGCGATCAACAGCCTTTTTCCACGCCAAATTGACCGGTTTCTGAATCTCTGCAGTGAAATTGATTGCCCGTAAAACCGCCTGAAACGGTGAAACCTGACCTCACCGGATGCAAGGTCACATGTAACTTTCACGCACCGGGTCGAGATGAGATGAGATGACGTGATGCCCATCACATGAGAGCGGTCCAGTGACCGCGACAAGGATCGGCCACCGACCCGGGTCGTTTTCTTCCTCACTGCATGCCGACTCTGATACGTGACTCGATTTTTCTCTGTCAGAATACGGGCAAAGTTCAGTACGTAGTAGCTCACAATTGCAGCTGTGAGTCTGTGACTTAATTAACAAATAGAGAAGATACAGCAGGGCACTCCAACAAAAGCGACTTCTTTTCTGTTACATTAAGTGTTCTCCAGAGCTAGAGAACTGTAGATGGGTGATTCAGCAAACGGTGTGGTGCAGCCACACTGTTACCTTTCTCCTTTGTCTAAACAGTCTACTGCGTTTGCAAGTAATCGATCTTTAGAAGGAGAGGTTGCTGTTGCGCCCTCGTGAAGGGTTCACCTTTTGGTTGACTCCCCAGTTGCTTATGAACTGAAAATAGTAGCGATTTAGCTGTGATTTCCATTTGTTAAACGAAATGGAGGAATCTTGAGTCAAAAGCTGAGTTCATTGACAACCTTCTGATGAAAAAGATCGTAAAAAGGGGCTCTTTTTCAGAACAAAAAGGGAATTTGCAAAGAGGAAAGTAGGATGAAACTGGCGCCGACTACAGTTATATGAGTACCTTCGATTTGGTCGATCGTTATGGAATGGAATATGCCCTCCTCTGCATTGCTGTCTCACATGCTTTGCAGAACATTGCTTAGCTCTCAATAATTAAGCGATGCAGGTAACTGGCAATACGAGCAGGTGCAGGGTCATTTTCATAGCAAAGGACGTAGAATTGAGCTGCTTCAGAATAATCCCAACATGACATGCAAAATCACAAGTACACTCAACTAAATTCACAGGGATAGCAGTACCATATAAAAACAATCACTTTGTTATCTTGCACCATTAACAGTAGAGCCTCAAGTTCCATTCAGTACCAACCTAAGGGAGAAAGGCCCAAGTTGCATGACAGTATCAACAAATCTGTATAAGAAAAAGAAGTTAAATCCCATCCTTCCGACAAACCATATAAGCTAACACATGGGATCAAAGACATGCATTTAGAAAGCTTGTTTTTTTGAAAGTGAACGCCTTTCTTCTCATATATTGGTGTCGATGTGCAATGGTTGGAAAAGAAGCTGCCGTATACGGAGTAGCGCTTTGTGTCTTTGTTCATGGAAGGCACACGTTCATCAAACAATCATTTTTTCCCGTAAAAAATCTATTGATCCTTAGGGTATGTACAAAATTGGTAGATGGCGACTGACAACAACACTAGACCTAATAAGGTGGTTTATAACGGTACGGAATCAGAGTAAGTGCACACAAGCATCAACGGTGGACCTTCTGAAATCGCTTAAATCCAAATAGCAAAATTACGCCTTGACGACCAAATCATGCGGTATTATGCATTTATGCTAGTATCAGACCTCATAGCTGACGTTGATGAGCACTGTCGTGAAGTCCTCAGTACCATACAAGCACTCCCTGGCCATCAAAGCTCAAAGCCGAACCATTGGGTAATAAGATGAGGGGATTTTTAAGATGGCTTAAAAACAAGGGAGAAGTGAGAATTGTGTATGGGCTGTAAACTTAGTAATATTTATTTCAGAAACATCAGCAGCCAGCAGGAATCTAGTTACTGTATCCATGAACACCTTGCTGCCTTGCTGGCATTTCTGAATGTTTGCTTTCATCCCGTCAGTAATCAATACGACGTTGTACCAGCAGACAATGCATGAAGCAATTGCATTTGAAAATTGTGATGACGCCAGACATGCAAACGTAGCGACATGATCCGATAAAACCAACACGGAGGTGTTGATGTAGCAAGTCAGCAACCACCCAATAACTTGTGGCGTCACTAACCAAGAGTGTGTGCAAAGTCAAAAAAAGCAGCAAAAAATAGCATTTGTGCTGAAGTACCAAACACAATCAAATTCGAAATCTCTATGATCTATCCCACTGCCGACTAAAGCATGCAACCCCCGTAGCAGTTGTTGCAATGCTGGATTTGAGTACGGTGCAGTGCACCGCACCCACCTAAACAAAAGCAGCTAAGTGTGCAGTCTGATAATCAGAAAAACCAGGGGTTGCACTGAAGAAAGCGAGTATCTAAGGGGGGTTTCTGACTCAAAAGTTCAGCTACACAGTAAGCATGGTGAAGAAATGACAACTTGAAATGTTACATTGCTTAAAAAAAGAAACATACAAAATTTTAAGCTACTAGATAATATCCATTCATCGGTGGAACAGAAAGTAAGCAAATATGTCCATGCACATAAGTTGTATGCTTCATGGATATTGTAGCAAAATGAAGAGTGCTAAGAAAAGGGACCAACAATGGTAGTCATTGTTGCGCTGCCAAACAATATACTGTACATAATTTCATCCATTATCGAAAAAAAAATCATCCATTAAATATTTTTTTTGAAAGGATCCATTAAATATTCAAGATCTGGAAGAGTGATGCAATGTATGCTTTAAGCTCTTCAGGATGAATTAGATATATCTTAGTGTATCAACTTTGCTAATACAGATAGGAATTCCAAGGCAAGCTGCAAGATTACCTTATGAAATCATGCATTGTTATATGCACAGGTGCTCTTGTGTTTGTGCAAATGTGCACAAAACATCAGTAATGTTATGAAGGACTATAGGTGATTAAAGGAAAACTTGCAAGTCAATCATCTTTCTTTTGACACACTCGGGGAAAAAAAAGATGATATCAAGAAAAATATCAACCGATAACCCACTTCTATTGTAATGTATAAATTACAACATAGACTAGCTAAAGCTTTTACATCACAAATGAACCCATCATAGATCAAACGAAATGTCTGGAGGTAACTATTTGCTGTGACTATTAATTCTAACCAATAGAGGGTAGCAGTGCTCTTCATTGTAGTTGGGCCAGGATCTGTTATCATCCGATACATATTTTTTGTGCATATTCCATACAGTGGGATCATACTTCTCTATCAACTCACAAGACAAACCATTCTTTTTAATTACTTCTAGGAATTTGCTGAGTGAATCGCCTCTCTTTGGGCTCAGGAAAATGGCCTGTGAGGTTTCTGAATGCTTCAACAAGGATTTGACAACCCGTGCAAGGCTCTGATGGAATTGCTTGAAAAATGTGCTGCAGCACAAGTGAATAAGTATATAAAATTCCTGGTAAAACCGACTAATACATTGCATTTTATATTATATTATCGAGAAATTTTGATGGTGGTTGATTTGACTTATCTAGCCTGATTTTTAAGTATTAACTAGAGAAATAACTCAGTTCCAAATTATCATCTTCGTCAGAGGGAACAAAACAAGTTCTCTTCATTTCTCTGCTTTCAGTGGATGCCTATCAAACTCTATGCAATCAAAAAACAGTTGCAAGATATAGCTTCTAAAAACATTTTCCGCACAGAGATGCTAATGAGGAGCCCTGACATTACTAAAATCTAGTATTGATTGGTTAGATGCATCTCGTAATGTCATGCTCAAAGCCTAACACCAGAGGATATCAACAATACAGGAAAAAGACTGTCCATGGGCGATAAATGGTAAGAAACAAAGAATAGTAAATTAAGAAGTACAACATACCAGTCACTTGCAACAATAATATCGAAGGAACTAATAATTTCTGAAGCCTGCCCAGCATCCCAGTGAAGTACCATAGATTTAACTTTTGTTTGACCAAAAGTTTCTGTATTGATGGATATATTCTGCTGAATATCTGAGGGTTAATGGATTACAAAGACCATAGAAGCGTGATGTTTGGACCAATCTAATCTGATTTGCCATTACATCCTAGTGTTTCAAAAAATTAGCAAAAACAACATGTGCACCGTATTAGTCAATACTGCAAAGAAGCCTATGTGTAAATGAAACTAAAGGATACATCCAACTACTTGTGGATTTCCATCAGAAATAACGACCTCATCAGCATCTGTGCTGGCTGCAATAGCAAGTCCAGCTAACCCATAACCGGATCCAAGCTCAAGCACCTTCTTGGACCTGGAATAAATCTAAATGGTCAGTTATCTGAGATATATAATACATATATTGAATTTAGGCAAAGAAGCAATTGGTTGTTATTGTCTTTTGTGAAAAGGGATTGCCCTGTAGGTAATATGGGACAAGGAAGATACATAACTAGAGTTTCATATGATACAACAAAGAAACAATTGACAACTCTTCACGTTAGTCATGAGAGCAAAATGTATCACAAGGTACTAACTATATAATGTACCTTGTAATAACGCACATAGTTCGCAAACCATGAGCTAATGCACCTCGCCATGTCATACTGAATTTCTCATCTTAATCTCATCAATGACAAAATGTCACCGACAAACACAGGAAGAAAACTAGAGGAGATTGTACTTAAAGCTTGCTTACATATACTAATCAAAGCCTCGTCCCATTACCTATATGGCATTACTACAATTTGTACCAAAAGCCTGCAGTATTTTGTAACATCGATGATGCACCCCTATGATCCTGTTCAACCAAGCCATGACTCCAGGACAGTACCAATTTGTACTCAAGTTCCCAAGGAGAATACGAATGGCAGATCAGCAAATTGCTTTTGCCAAATCCAGTATTAGTTGAATGCGTGATTCACTTAGGAACTTGAATCCACTATGTAAGTTCAGATATCAACCATAAAAGAAAGTTATATATATGTATATAGAACAATTAATATTGGTGCACGAATGTTACATTAGTAATACACCTCACAACCAAGTACCAACCTGAACATATCCGAATGGTTGATACAGTAGTACGCAAGGACCTCTTCCGACGGCCAACAACCTTCAGGGGAAAAAAACAACAACCGTAAAAGTAAGCATGTCTTGACTTCTTGAGGTATCTGGAGATAAGATGAAGGATATCACATATAGCGCGCAATGCAAGAAAAATAGAGAAGTTGATAATTCAGAACAGAGTCTTATCAATACGGAACTTCCAACTCTGTACAGCATTGCTGCATAGAATTCCTCTTTTTTTTTCTCGAACACCATAGGATTCATTAGAACTCTATCATCAACAGGAGTCAAAGTCAAGTGATCACTGACAAGACAGCATGGTGTGCAGCTTCTGATGTCACAGTAAGTTACCTATCAAGCCAGCTAGCCAGCTAGGTAGTTTACTGCAGATAAACAACCTATAGACCTTGAGAACAGTAGTGCTAAAATATAGGTGAATTTAGCATTAGATACAGGTTCAAAGCCTATTACATAGGAGAGCACCACTTTTAGACTTAACAGACAAAATTATGTGCATAGAAGGCTAACAAGGACAGGAAAGAAAATAGTTCTACACAGTAAACAAGAAACTGAACGTGCATATTCTGCATACATTTAAATTCCTTTTCCACACAATAAACCAAAAAAAAAAACAATTCACTTGAATAGGAAACTTACACACAAGTCCAGTAGTGTCAATATTGTATCTGTTAGAAGCTACAATGTCATTTAGTTCAAGGGAATCCTCTCTTCTGTATCTGCAAACAAGAACTACAATAATAAACACAACTACTAGAAAAATGTGCGCCAAACAATATAATTGTTGGAACACTTAATGATAGCTAAAGTTAAATCCTGCCAAACAATCTAATTGGTGGAATGCTTAATGATAGCTGAAGTTAAATCCTGCCAAACAATCTAATTGGTGGAATGCTTAATGATAGATGAAGTTAAATCCACATGAAGGGCTTAGTGAAGAGAAAAACAATTGGATGTTCCCAGTATCATCAGATAAATGGTAGAAGGATTAATTAGGAAACAACTGCATTCAATATGACAGACGACAGTGAAGAAAATAGTAGACTACTTACACTAGGTTAAGTTTAGGTGAACCTTCACAAGGTAGCTTGTAACAGACACGAACATCATTATGGCATTCCACAATATTCTCATTTCTACTTGATGAATCCCCATGTGATTTAGTTGACTGTGAAATGGGCAGCATATGACACTCAATCAGGTCAAAGCCACGCGATGTCTTTCTGGAAATTTTGTTAGTATCATTTTTATCTTGCTGATCGTTAGAAGTTTCCTCTGCAAAATTAATCAGGAAAAAAACAAAATAAATATTATTAATAAAACAAAAACTTTTTTTTAACACTTGAAAACGTTACTAGCTATTAAAACCGTATAAATGTGGGAGGTAAGCAAACTTAAAGTTGCGACAACCAAACATAATCATTATTAGGCCCTGTTTAGATTCCAGCTTTTTTCTTCAAACTTCCAACTTTTCCGTCACATCGAACTTTCCTATACACGCAAACTTCCAACTTTTCCGTCACATCGTTCCAATTTCTTCAAACTTCCAATTTTGGCGTGGAACTAAACACAGCCTTAACAAATAAAAGCAGTTGCATTAATGGATAGCAACCAGTGATCACCAGACTATGAAAGAAAGAGAACCAGTACTATTGTACCTTGTCCTATAGAAAGCTAACAGTGGACTGTAGATTCGACTCCTTATGTTTCTCATAGTTAAACAGTACAAAAATGACATATAGATGGCCACAACTTCTTCGCAGGGAGTTTTATGCTCATACAAGCACATCCAAGCCGAAATCACGCTATTGGTCCACAGATTTTTTTTTTCTGAACATGCTAATGTCGAGTTGGTGAAATGCAAATCGGGAGAGCACAAATGCCAGAGCAGTTCTTTCATTCACTGCCCCCAAACATTGATCAGGCAGTAAATCAAGAGTTCCAGCTTCCAGTTAAATGCTAAAAAACCTACTTGCGTGCACTTGCTGCATATCAGGGCTCCTATAATTCGGGGAGTGGAGGCGAGCTGCCTTCCACGCTGTCCCCTATGAGGGAGTTTTCAGTTTTTCACGAGTTCTATGGATCGGACAGATCGAACGAAACCGGACGCTAAACGAAACGAAGCGGATACAAAAGTTGCTGCGGAGGCGATAAGGGAAAGGAGAAGGGGAAGGAATCGGCGGGGACCTGGTGCGCGGGAGGTGGAGGCGGAGCGCGCGAGCAGGGCGCGGCGAAGGATGCGCCACCGCAGGCTGGCATTGGATGCCCCACTGGCTTCTGCGGCGGACGCCTGCGCCGGCGGCGGGGAGGGCGGCGAGGCGGAGTCCATCGGGAGCCCGAGATGTGTGATCTCTCGGGTGATTCCGTTTCGGCCGCGGCTCCGTCCAAGGAAAACACCGATTCGATTGCACACGGGTCGTCGTTTTTGCGTGGTTCGTTCGAGTCTCCGGCCCGAGCCAGGTACATGTACATGGTTCAATCGAACCAATTTATGGTTAACTGACCTCCGTAACCACAATTACAACCTACAAGTCGTGACAGTACACTGTCACCCATTACACATACGTGACGACATGTCAGTATGTCACGATGTCAGCAGAGCTTGAAGCCATATACACCGAGGAGGTGTACCGTGTACATACGTATGGTCATATCTGGATGTTGATGTGCCTGGTCTCGTCGCCGGGAGAGAGCGAGAAGGTGGCCTGCGACGTGCTGTTGGCGTAGGTGACGGAGACGATGTACTCCCCGAGGAATCCGCTGAAGCTGTAGGCGCCGTGCGCGTCGGTCGGGCCGGCGGCCTGCCCCGTCTGCCACTCCTGCAGGAGGCGGTCGACGACGTCTCCGACGGGGAGGTTGTTGAGGTTCCAGTCGGTGAGGCACATCTGGTAGCATCCGTTGGGGTGCAGCGCCGTCCACAGCATGACGCCGGTGACGGCCGGGTGGGAGTACGCCTCCCTGAGCACCTGCTCCAGGTAGACGGCCTGCGTCTGCGCGTCGTACCGGTTGCTGATGTCGATCTCGGTGAACCAGATGGGCAGGCCGAGCGTGGCGAGCTTGTCGAGCACGGCGCGCATGAGCGGGATGTTGGGCTTGAGGAAGTGTCCCTCCAGGCCGATGCCCTCCAGGACGGCGCCCCCCGCGCGGAGGTCCTTGAGCTTCGCCACGTACGTGTCCACGGTGGAGGACACGTCGTCGCAGGTCTCGATCACGTTGAACTCGTTCATGAAGAGCGTGGCGAGCGGGTCGGCGTCCTGCGCCACGCTGAAGAACTCCACCGACGCGTTGGCGCCCAGCCGCTGCTCGTAGAAGTTGTAGTGCAGCATCTCGTTGTTCACGTCCCAGTGCGCGAACTCGCCGCGGTAGCGGGTCATCAGGTTCTGGATCCGGCCGTTGACGGCGGCGCGGAGGTCGTCCGGTGACAGGCCCTTCACCCAGCTCGGCGTCGCGTCCTGGTTCTCCCAGAAGATGTTGTGCCCTCGCACCATCACGCGGTGCGACCGCACGAACGCCAGCATCTGGTCCGGCACGTCGAACCGCAGCTGCCCCGACATGGGCTCCGTAGAGTACCACTTCAGCTCGTCCTCGAACACCGCCGCGTTGAACCGATCCACGAACCATTTCTGCCACCAGTCCATACACCATTTTAGCCACGTTTTTCTACACTTTCTTTGCACTGACGCGACGCTGCACGTACCTGATAGGCTTGGTTCCCCAAGATGGTGGAGGCGATGGCCGAGCCGAACGGGAAGTCCTTGGCGGTTTGTCTCACGGACACGGACGCGCCAACCACGCGGCCGCCTTGCTGATCGGCAACGTGGATGGTAGCCATCCGCTTCCTCCTCTGCTTGAACCAAAACAGATCAGGTTATCAGAGTCGCAATCTCGCATTATATATTTTCACGTCTAAACGAAAACGTTACCTTCCGGATCGTGTCTTTCTGGTGCATGGACCACTGATCCGACGTGAACGGCTGAAGCGAACCGCTCGCGACCGTGATCTTCATAGGGGTCTTGTCAGCATTCTGAGGAGCAAGTCAACAATGGACATGATAAGAATACCATGCAAACAAACATTAGTACATAACATCATCGGATGCCATAGAGTGGTCGCATATGGTTGGGTTACAGGTGAATTATTATCACAGATGCTTACCTGAAAAAATATAACTGAGGTTTGTGTTGGCCAGTCGAGGACGAAGCCGCCCTTGAGGAAGGCCCAGCAGTCGTTCCTCGCGAGAACCGTGCCGATGCACCGCGCGCCGGCGTTGTCCAGCGCAAGCCTCGCCGTGATCAGAGCAGAGGACGCGCCTTCCAGCTTGACCCAGCCTACACGACGTGAAAAATGCAGTGTTGGTTTGATGATCTGAAGCTGGAATGTACGTGTAACGTGATCTGACGACCACATGATCGAACAGGGTGTACGGCGAGAAACTCACTTGAGAAGGTGTACATGGTGGTCTTGTTGAGGTTGTAGACCACGAACGCCGGCGAGAAGACGCCGGTCTCCGTCGTGCGGTAGCCGGTCGGGTCGTCGCTGTTGCCGAACCTCAGAATCCCTCCGTTGTACAGCGCCGGCTCCGGCTGCCCTCTGCACTGAAAGTCGCATGTACATTTCAAAACAAAATCAATGCATTAGCACTTCCCGTTCTACTGCAAGCATTGCACGAAGTGAAGAACTAGTTTGGTCCAGTTTACTGCAGAGCTGGTTAGCATAGTTGCACACATACTGAAACTTCTCCCAAAGTTCCTCCGGGTGATAATTAATTAATCATACCATAACGCCCATAACCCATAACGAGATAGCGACAGAATGACACGAGGCACACAAGAAAGTGCAGCTAAGCATACACTAATAATCAGTAAGCATCTCACTTGCCGTGTTAGTTGGTTGGCCTGAAAATGCATGTTAGGCCTGTGTAATTTGGCTCTGGCGCTTGACGCCTTGCGGAGCTTAATTGGACTGACATGATGAACTAGCTAATGATAACTGAGCATGATACATTCGGACATAACCAAGAACTCGGCGAACGCTAATACTAAAATACTTTGAAAAGCGCAGCACAACAGTTGTCATTTGTTCCGTGTGAGAATTTTAATTGGCATCAGGTAGGTACGGGCGGGCTTGTGGTCTCCCAGCGTACGCATGACAACAAACTGAAATAACTGAAGAAAAGGGTCATGTTCAGTGTGGGGAGGAAGCAATGAGTGGTCCAGTGGCTTCAAGCTTCGTCATCTTCTCCGTTCTTCCTAGTCCCCGTGTCATTAGTTCCCAGAAGAGGAATGCCATTGATAAACAATGCAAGGATTACTATGGACAAACACTGGCCTTTACCCCCCGAACTATATATCACTTGTCAGCAATCTCAAGTCTCAACGACCACACTGATGCGAAAAAAAAAAAGCTCAAGGATGGTTCATTTTGAGACTTACGTCGGTGTATGCAGTGTAATCGTACCAGCCATCTGCATGAAACCCAAAAGTTCAAACAGTGTCACACGCTCCGACCTTACCAGCTCTTATGCACGAGAGAGATATAACAGGAAAGAGATAGAGATAGAGAACTGACGGTTGCGAGACTGACCAGGAGGCACCGCTGCAACGAGCTCACGGCCACACCGCAGCAGCATCCACAGCACGAGATATCTCACGGCATGTAGAGAAAACCTCCTCATCTTCCAGCTCCCAAGTGCGCTACGAAGGAAGCTTTCAGGCTTAGCAATGGCGAGCTGAACTGAAGGATGTACGTTCTGTGTCGTGATCACAGCGATGCAAGGAGATGTGTGCAGAGGTGTGTATATATAGAAGAGGCCCGGGTGGCCGGTGTTTCCACACTTGGCGCGATGCCATTGGCGTGGCGGGGGTTCACGGGCTGGCCTGCGCCATGGCATGGGCGCCCACCATGCGCGTGCACCTGGTCCTCGGCGCTGGCCGCCTCTTCAAGGAAGCGGTTTGGTGCAGTGCCCTTGTGGTGCTCAAACACCGGGCCTAGCCAACACCTCCTGTTCGCCTGGTGGTTCACATGCGAGCTATGCGAAACCGAGCGAGCGAGCGAGGCTGTTGCTTGCGGTAACCCCAGTAAAACAAGCTCAGGTCCTGTGAACAATTTCTCGCCCTGTTCTGTTGTCTCGTACCGCTCTCGTGCCATGGGAATTGTACTGGCTTGCACTGCAGGCCTCGAAGTTTCTCCTGTTGTTTTCTCCCGGCATTGATGAATTGCTGGGTCGGTGTGTGCCTTAAAGCAGAGGGCCATAGCTCACGGTCGATTTGAGAATGAGTTGGCAACTCTGTCACTTTTGTACAGTGAAAATGGTAGTTCATCCCCTGTATCGCTCGGTCAGTTTACATCAAGCTATAGCAAGTTGCAGTGCCACCGCCCAGCAAACGTGCGAGGCAATTGTAAGTACGATCTCAGACAATGTTATTCTACGGAAGAGGCTCGTCATTGGACAGCAAACGGAGTCTCTGCCTCTCTGGTTACGTGTGAAAGCGTGGGTTGTATACCACTCATGAATGATACCAAATGCTATACGCTAGTATACAATATACATCCAGTTGCTAAAACTAAGCAGCCGCTTTATAAACTTGCAAGTTTGTACTTATTCAGCTACAACCTACCACTGCCTTTCTTGTGTATCAACCTAACGCCGCCTTTTGTGTATCCATAAATTCTAGTTTTATCCAATCATCTTTTCCTATTACCTTCCGATGCTTTGTTTACCGAAAGAAAGGTGTGGCAAAAAATTGAAGGAAATTAAACCCCCCTTTTCCACAGGGAAATTGGTCCAAAAGCACCGCACGCCACAGTGGTTGGTAGTCTGAAATCTGATCGTAAACAATGCCTCCAGTTTGTCATTCTTTCTGCAGGTCGGAATTATTGTTTGCCTTTTCTGAAGTGGCTTCTAAAGCTGCTCGTGCTCGCTGGTCGGAAAGAAAACCAGGCCGGAGAACTTGCATGCACGCACGCCAGAGCTTTCAGCCCCAAAATACACATGAACACTCGCGATGTCTCAGTGTCTTTTGCCCCATGGCTGTCCATATACAAGTTACGGAGTGGGGCGCTCGCATGCGCGCGAACCGAATCCCACACGGCCACACCCACGCTCGGGAGGAGGAGATGCAAAGCGGCCGGGAGGCTGGGGCGCTGGGCGCCACCACAAGCGAAAAAGCGCATCATCGCTTGGCGGGGCGCGAGACGGCGAGAGTACAATATGCGGCCGAGGCCGATGCGGTTGCCGCCTTGCCACAAAAGTTGGCGGTTGCCAAGTCGTGGAGCGCTTGTCCGTCTCTCGTCTCGGCGCGCCCCGGCCTTTGTTAGGCGCGCGGTACGCCTCTCAGTGGGTTCACGTGCGCCCGCGCCTGCCGCGGCCACGGGCCACGGGACGCGTTTGACTCGCCGTGCCGCGGCAGCGAGCGATGCAGCTCCCACTCCCACCGAATAGCGGAGTAGGCGCGATCGGTAGGGCCGCGCAGGAGTATGGGGCTTCGGCTCCGCGGAACGGTCACGGATGCGTCCGGCCGGGCCACCACTCCGATTTGCTGCAGTTTGGGGGCGTTAGACAATGGGCAATTACTCGTGCCCGCCTGCTCTCTTTGTCGCGCGGCGCGTCGCGGAGGACATGTGACTTGCGTAGTTCGTGCTTGAGAGCGAGCGGGTGCAAACAGTTGTTCTACGGTCTCAAGTGTTGTGGTCTACGGCACTATGATGCCAAACCTCCAATAGCCACGCTGATTTTCTGAGTCCTGAAGTCCTACCGTCCGAGAGCATATGCCATGGCACGACCCGTGCCCAAGTATTGTTTCTCTGAAGGCAGAGTTTACGTGAGTGCCACGCGGACCTCTCCCCATCAAGACGCGGGCACAAAATTCCAAAATTCCTCGGGACTTCGCTGCCTCACGAGTCCATTCTGCTTTATGGGATGGGGTGACCGCGACACGTAACATGCGGTGTCAATAGCACGAAAGTGAAACCCAATACTCAAATGAACCGCACAAATGAAGATAACGTGAAAGCCATGGGATAAAGAATTTATGTTCCTTCTGATGAGATTATTTTTCAGTCCTTTCAACTGGTTTTCCAACCACTTCAATTTCTCCTTCCAAACTGCATCGTATCGACATATAATTACGACTCACCAGATGTATTGTTCTACAGACTACACCAGAATACCAGATGATAAGTCTGCTGCTGGCGGAATACACGCAGTAGGACCGGCAGTTACTGATATATACAGTCATATATATACACAAACCAACACCATGACAACACTAATATTAGCACCACAGGAGCACTGTACAAATCTAATCTTATGAGGAAGGCATCGGTAGCGGTCTCAGCAATGGGCTGAAATCACTGATGCAAGAAATCTTCCATGAGTGTTATGTTCATTCAGCAGGGATGTCAGAACTCTGTCCTGAAAATTTAGTGGCGGGTTGAATTCATGAAATTGATTGACGAAGTAATCAAACAGAAACATACTGAAATAGAGGAACGGTACACTTCCATTCTTTGACTAAAAATGTTTATACTATTTTCACACTGAAATGGTATTAGCAGATTTTTTTTTCACAAAATTACTTTAGATATCATTTTCTAAATAAGTTCAGTAATGTAACGGTCAAATGCATGCATTGTGATCTGCACCTATGCCTGAAATAGCAAGTAAAAAAAGAATGAGGGAGTAGTTTGTTTAATTATGGTGTAGAAAAACATTAACTTGGAATTAAATGGTTAGCAAGCACAACACATGCATGGCAGGAGAACTACCACTAATGAAATGCAATATACTCCATAAGTTTTTTTTTCTCAAACACGCAGGAGATACTCCTTGTAATTTAGTTTTCCTTACAAAATGTGGTTAACAAAGTGGAGATCACAGAGGGTGCAGGCAAAAAAATGATAGATAGCTATCAGAAGTTAATTTCACAAATGCACCTGAACCAGTCGTCATGCATAAATACACAACACTGGTCACTAATGAATTGCAATATTTTACTTTTAGGAGCCAGATAAAAAAAATCCTGGTTCACTGCCGAAAATATGACAAGTACGTACCTTTCTCTGGGTTAGGGGAACTTGTCAAGTGACCTTCATACATGCCAGTATTGTCTTCATTCCTGCCAAGAAATCCATCAGCAGGAGCAAGCCATGGTAATAAACATTAGAAACACTTCTAAATCAAGGTTACCGTACCAGATTGAGTTATACCAGTTGGGACTCGTAGATATTGCCATTGTAAAAAAGAACTGGTACAGCTAAAGAGCCAGGAATTTCATTTAAGATATTCTTATACCAGCACTAACAAATACTACTAGTTAGTATGGCAGGTATATCATCGGTATGGTCAGCCCTGTCAACACTTTGCTACATTCCAGGTTTCACACTACAGTAAATGAGTAAATTACCCTTGACTGTCATGTTGGTTGATTGTATTTGAAGTCATTGTTAAGACAGACCCTACAGCATCATCACCAGCTTCATGTTCCTTTGTGCCCTAGAGTACAGTATTTCGAAATGATTAGAACTATTGTCCAGTCTGGTGTAAAAAAACAATGCAATAAACAGAAGTAACACTTTGGCACCCATAGAAAAACTTACCGAGATATTGTCACCCATCCATCCTGGAATAGCCTCTGACAAAAGATTCATGTATCTTTCCATAGCTGTCTCCGGATACATGTTCCCTAGCTTTTGCCAAGCAGCCCTGAGAGAATAATACACGATAGTTATGGGTTATCATTACAGACTGTGACTCGTATGCAGCTTAACAGAATTGTACAACTCCTACAAACAAATAGCCCACCATCTTGTGTGTCTTTCCTTATGTCTATTTACAACTTATAATTTTTCATATAGTCCAACATACATTCCCTATAATTTTTGGAAATAAAAAATATAAGTAGCCAAGTTATATATAGTTACTGCAAGTATAACTCCAGAATTACTTACAGGCATATATGAATATGACTATAGATTGTCAACCAACTACCATTATACTAAATAGAAAGCCTTAACATAGAGAGATAGGTGCAAGATGTCAGTGCTGTGATGCTGTCACATCATGTATATTATGTGACCAGCATTCCATATTCTAAAACATCTAGGTTCTCACTCAACCAAAGGGTAATTGTTATGGTTAGACACAGGCCCCGCTCCGCTTTTGGCAGCAACCCATTTAAAGAATCAATATAAAAAGGCTACACAACCAACAAATGAGAGATAAGGTGCTGCGCACATGCAAAACATATGAAAATTCTTTGAATTTGTGATCATTACTCTCATTTATCATAGGAAATCTGGCTGGAATCAGTCATTCGATGGCATATCATAATACCAGTGAAAAAAATTCAACTAGTAATTTTTTTGATAGGTCCCATTTTGTAAGTATATGCTACCTCTGCACTCCAAGTATATGATATTGAATTACATGGTGGCACATATAGAACTAACAGGGGCGCTCTATGCAAACAAAAATTGATTGATTGAGACTGTGAAGTGACAAGTATTTGTGGAAAAACTCATAGTAAAAAGAATAAATGTTCAAAAGTGACAGGAGTACTATAATTGTCTATCACATGCAAGTATGCAACTAACAGGTGGGTCCCACATGCCAAATATGGGAGATGAAAAGGGGGTCGCCCACCATTTAGGTTTTGTCATATATAAAGGTATTCAGTTAAGATATAATTATTGAATCAACTCAAATGCATCGTTTTAGGTAGCTTTGACAAAATACCTATAGTTCAATGATATACTCATATATAATTATGTCCAACAAGAGAAATACCTAGCGTATCAGCATCTCAATAACTGCTTACATCATATATTTGACATTGGATTTTGTCCATTTTTGGATTCCAAATAGTAGCTACATGATTAGTTACAAACTATCTCGGAGAAGCACTCCAAATTACAAATCTGACTGCATTAAGCATGGAATATTGCAATATGTGTGTCCTGCACTCATGTCACAGTTATATCATGTTGGGCATACATAGATGAAGTGTTTTGGCCTGTTTATATGAATAACTACCTTGCAGTGCGGCCAAGTAACACTGGATTGATACCTCTAAAAATACTATGCTTTTCATATGCTTTGCTTTGCCTTCACTTGCAACTTATCCCAAAAACTTGATAGATTCTCATGTGAACCACACACCATTATGCATGACAGAAGATCAGCGTATCAGTGACATCCTTACACTATTACACACTATATCACTGGTTTAAGTGCATTATCCCATTGATGATGGGCAATTATAATTCACTTATCTTTATCTTCACTGATGATGGACAACTATAATTATCTTCTTTTAGCATAACAAGTTTATTAAACAATATAAAACAAAAATGGCACATTTAATGTCTTTGTTTAGATAGCCCAGAAAAGTTGACAGAAGCTTTTTTTCCCCTTAACAAATTAGAGGACAGATTCTCATTGTCTCAAGTCACAACATAAGGTAGGAAAATATTTTTCTAATTTTAACAATCAATTATGCAAAAGATTAAAAACTTTTGCATTATATGAGTCGTTTATTGTTCCACAGAGAAGTTCTATGTTCCGCAGTAAAATGGGATTCAAAATTTTGAACCAGTTCTTTGGCTCTTTTTTAGGTTTAGCCAAATAGCTAGGACCAAATTTCATACATAAGTGTCATAGTAGCCATAAGAAGTCCCAACTAGATCAAACAGACCAGCAGATCAAACAATTCAGTTTTCTAATATGTCATTACAGTCTATCTACCAACTACCCAGAATTCAGAGTTCAAAGTTCTGTACTTTGGTCTTTTGCCAAAAAAAGGACTAGTTTAAGCTATTTCAGACCAGTATACCTGATCTGCCTATAAATCACAAGTCCATTGCCGATTACATTCTAGCCAGTGCAAAGTAAGGCATTTGGGTAGTATATTGGTTTTGTTGTCCTTGAACTATATAACCTACCGCAGTTGTGCAGCATACCAAAAAAAAAGTTGGAGCTAGGATATCAATGAGAAAAACAATTACCATTTTGCACGAGATGAAGGCCTCAAGGTAAGTGGCTGTGTAGAGTCATAGCATGGACCATCAATGGCAACCTTAAGGAGTCCCTGCAGCTGCAGCTGCACATCACTATCAAGCTTTGACAGGGCAGCCATCCCGGCGTCACTAGATGCAAACGCTGCTGCCACACCAAACCTCTTTTCTATCTCAGTTCTTTCAATCCCTTCCCACTCCCCAAATTCCATGTCTGTCTGAGTCTCATCTGCGGGCACACCTTGCAATGTCAATTCCTCCTCGGTCAACTCAGCAATCATTTTGTCACCAGAACTGCTTCCATGGCTAATTTCCACATTGTCGGTATTCCTCCCCACCAGCTCCACCTTAGAAGCCGAACCTTCTTGTTGATCAACCAGATGGAGCTTGCATTTAGCTTCGTCCTTACTCTGAACTTCTTCATGAACATTGACAGCTTTTTCAGAGGATTGTTCTTCTTTAAGTTCCTCCGTCTCTGCCAATGCCACACCAGGAATTGCTACTGGAGCAGTCGCTGCAGCCAATTGATGTTCCTTCTCTTCAATAACTTGCTCTTCTTGCTTCTCAGATAACTCGTCAAGAACCTCTTCAGGAACTGTCTCGGAAGTCAATCCAGATGACCCTGCTTCAATAGCTTGGACCCTCTCCTCCAATCCCGCATCAACAACTTCCGCAGGAGCAGCCAGAGCAACCCGATGATGTTGATTCACATCAATAGCTTCAATAATGCGAACTCCCTGTTGCTCAAATTCCACCTCAGGAACGTCACTCGGAGCTACCTCAGCACCCAGATCATCCTGCCGCTTGATTTCAACCGCTTCAATGATGGGAACACCCTGTTTCTCCAACCCTGTGTCAAGAGCTTCCCTTGGAGCAGCCTCGGCGACCAAATCATGCTGCTCCACCCCAACATCCTGCACCTTCCCTTCCTCCAGCGTCACGTCAGATACCTCCCCGGGAGCAGCTTCAACCCCCAACTCATGCGGCTTCACTCCCACGACCTCCGCCACCGCAGCGGCCAAATCGCACCGCTCTTCGCCAACTTGTCCTTCCTCCTCGCGTTCCTCCAAAACGGCATCGAGAACAAGCTCCCGAGCGGCCTTCGCGGGAGCCTCCTCTTCCTCCGGCAAGCACTCGAGCTTCCCCTCCGCCGACGAGGCCCTCCCCACCTCGACCCACCCCTCCGAAACCACGCACTCCCTCGCGCGCGCGCTCTTCACCTCGACCTCATCGACCTCGATGATCCTCTCCTCCTCCACCACCACCGCCTCCTCCTCCGCGATCACGGCGGCGTGATCGGGCGCGCGGCGGCGGGGATCACTGGCGGTGGCGGCGGAGGCCAGCAGCCTGGCCAGCAGGAAGGCGACGAGGAGGGAGGCAGCCGCCGTGAGGAGCAGCTCGTAGAACAGCTCCATGTCGGCGCGGCGCGGTGAGGGGACAGGGCAGCGGCTGCACTCCTCTCTCTCTCGCTTTCGTGTTCGGTTGCGCCGCGGATCGAGGAGGGGGGAAAAGGGAAAGCGGAAAAAGGGTCAGGAGGAGAGACGAAGAGAAGAGGAGAGGAGAGCGAGACGATCGAGCAACCGGAAGGAGGGTGGGTGCGGGGAGAGTAAAGAAGGTGGGGCGCCAAAGGAAGGCATATTCGGGCGGATACGACCGCCACGGCGGACGACGGGTTGGGGGGTGGGTCCGGTCGCCTCGGAAAAAGTCGCCCTCGGCCTCGCGCGGCCGCGAGCTGCTCGGGGCGGATGGCGATTGTGCCCTGCCGCGCGCGCCGCGCAGGCAGGGGGTTTTTCGTTTGCGTCTCGGCGCACGTACGTACGCGTCGCGGGGTCGGCTTCGATCGCATGCGTGCCGCGCCGTTTTCCCGGCACAATGTAGCGCGCGCGTTGGGTGCCTCTGGGTCAGGTTGGTGTTCACTGGTCGCTTTCGCGGCTTCGCCGTCGGTTGATGATAAGTTTCGTTTTTGTTAATTTCTGTGGCTACAGTTAGCAAAGTGAGAATGGATTCGATGGTTAGGTGTGGCAAACATGCGATTCGCATTCGCCAAAAGAAAATATGGATATGTATTCGTACGTGTTTGCCAAATTGCCGCTATTTTATCTGTGTATATATGAGTCATGCGTTACCGGGAGTTCTATGTGGCAAGTTAAATATAATGACATATGCTAAAACAGTAGTAAAATGCAACTGGTTGTTTTTTTAGATTTAGGCTCAATTAATCACTGCGATTGATAGTTGTGTACTCCCTCCGTCCCAAAATAAGTGCAGCCATGGTTTTCAGCGCCTAACTTTGATCATTCATCTTATATAAAAAAAAATAAAAACATAAGTCACGAGTAAAGTACTATTTATGTTTTATCATCTTATAACAACAAAATTGCTAATTATAAAAAAAAATTAAATAAGACGAACGATCAAAATTGGACACGGAAACTTATGGCTACACTTATTTTGGGACGTCCTCGAAAGCTCATGAGAAGCTATGATAAGGACATGACGTTACTACTTTTGGATAGCATGAAGCTGAAATAGAGGGAGACCTCATCAACCAAAGTTAACGCCAGCATGATTTGTATACCATGTTGGCATGTTATGGATGAACATATGAGAAACATGGCAAATGCACGTACATAATACAGTGAAAAATGTTGTTTTTTTTTGTTTTTAGTGAAAAATGTTGTTATGCAATGAATAAATGAATGAATTAACTCCTTTCAAAAGAGATTCATAGGATACATGGGGCTGTTCACTGTTCACTTTCGCCGCTTCGCCGTCGGTTGATGATAGCTCGTTTTGTTAATCCGTTTGTGGCTGAAATTAGCAAAGGATAATTCACAGTGTGGTTAGGGGTGGCAAACAATTTAATTTGTTTTTGCCAAAAAGATATGTAATCATGTTTTGCCTCTATTTGGCTGTTATGGACTATAGTCCGTTTCCACACTCTCCCGTTCGTTTCCACTACAAGAAGTGGATTAAATTTTGAATTTTCGTGGCACGTTTTTCAAACTGTTAAACGGTGTGTTTTGTACGAAAATTTTTTATATAAAAATTGTTCTAAAATATCAGATTAATCTATTTTTCAAGTTTAACTTGCACACTCGACAGCTACATGTCGATCCATAGCTTCACCTTAAATTAGTAATATACATGATAGAAATAGAATGGAAGACTTTGCTTCTTTCCTTTTTTTTTCCACATGAGATGAGATTATTTTTTAAAAAAACTACATGAGATGAGTTGGCTAGACAAATTTAGCATACTCCTACGTTACAAGTTTACAAGATGACGACTATATAACGGAGTTGACCTGGTCTTCATTCTACGGGTGTGTGGACAAAGGTGGTGATAGGGTGGTGGCCGCCGTGACGAAGAGGAAGGAGGCCGGCCGAGCGAGAGGAAGCAACGGAGGAGTCCCGGTCGCAATACGCCGCCGCCGCCGCCCACCTACCTCCGCCATGACACCCATGTGGTACATGTGGTCGGCAACGGGCTTCGGCCCCTGCACCCTTCGCCTCACCCACCTGGCCCTCTTCGTCATTTGCACACAAGCAACAACAACAACGATGTCACGACCAATCCCCACACCACAACACAAACAAGAAGCATACAAGCAGAGAGCGTGGCTTCGGTGTCGGCATCACCTTGAGATGGTAGCAGAGCGTGAGGAAGTCAATGGCGGAGGAGGCAGGGCTGGAGGCCGGAGCAATGGAAGAGGGGGAAGGGGTCACGAATGACGACGATGACATGGAGGCAGAGAGGAAGGGGGCGGTGACTGCGATGGGGGTATTGGAGGAGGGGGGATTTGGTGACCTGTTGCCGTCGCCGCTCCCCACGTACGTCCGAAGGGGAAGAGAAAGGGGGAGAGAAAGTGAGCGAAGGGAGAAAGGGAGGAGGAAAAAGGGAAGGAGAGAGAGGATGACATGTGCACCCCTACAATTTTTTTTTGTGTCAATGACAAATAGGTCTCGTATATATATTTTTAATTCTAATGCCACATAAGTGCTACATCAACACTATGTAGAATGAAGACTAGGTCAACACCGCCATATCAGCAAAAACGCTGAGGGAGTGAAATTGCACCGGTTTTAATAGTTGGGTGATCGAGATATCTGGTATTATGGATCAGATTCGGCCAATAGTTCACTTTGACTCCTCCTCGTCGCCTTCCTGCGGCCATAAGAAAAAGTGCGCCGAAAGTTCCTCAACCTGTCATCGAGTTAAAAAATCGCCCCCAATTGTAAAACCAGATATAGACATCCTTTAACTTACAAAAACCATTCACTTTAGGTCCATCGGTAGTTTTGACTCCGGTTTTGTCCGACGCAACGGCTGAGTCAATGTGGGACCCACGTGGGTTCCCACATATCAGGATGCCACGTCATCTCTTTCCCCTCATCTCCCTTCCTCAGTTCCTCCTCTATCTCACTCTTCTCTACATATAGGTCAGCCGGCGGGGCGAGGTGGAGGGCGGCGCCGCGGTGGCGGCTAGTGGCAGCAACGACGGGGGAGAAGGAGGGTGCCACCGTGCGTGCGAGCTCGGGGTTGAAGAGGCCTGGGAAGCGGGAGAAGGAGGATGGCGTCACGCGTCGTCAGCGGCGGTGACGCAGGAGAAGGGGAGGGCATCGCTGCGCGGACGAGCTCGAGGACGAAGACCTCGGCAACGAGGTAAGCGACCTCACAGCATCACGCAAGACCGACGGCGGCCCGACAGAGCTCCGCATCGGCCAAAGATGGGCCTAGGGAGGCAACAGCGAGGCAGGAACGACGCAGGCATTGTGGGCGGGTGCTGGGTGGCGGAGCTCGAGTACGGCGAGGGCGCCGATGCGCCATGTCCAGTAGCATCGAGGCCCGGGGGCCATGTCGTGGACGACGAGCCCGCCATGTCTAGGTTCGTTGAGTCTCGGGTCGCCGAAGACGAGTGCACGCTCGCGTGGGTCGTCGATGGGAGAGGCGGGGGTCGTCGATGGCGGGCGCAATGCCATCGAGGTCGCTCACCTCGCCGCCGTTGGGATCTTCGTCCTCGAGCTCGCCCATGTGGCGACGCCCTCTCCTTCTCCCAGGTCGTTGCACGATGACTCAGTCATCGCGTCGGACAAAACCGGGGTCAAAACCATCAAATGACCTAAAGTGAACGGTTTTTATAAGTCAAAGGATGTCTTATATCTGATTTTACGGCTGGGGAACGATTTTGTAACTCGATGACAAGTTGAGGGACCTTCGGTGCACTTTTTTCGTATTTTCCAATGTCGGCTCTTGGATGGTACTCCCTCTGTCCCCTAATATATGGGATTTTGATATTTTGTTTGCACTGTTTGACCATTCGTCTTATTAAAAAAATTTAGAATTATTATTTTTTTTGACTTACTTTATTATCCAAAGTACTTTAAGCATAACTTTCTGTTTTTTATATTTGCATAAATTTTTTGAATAAGACGAGTGGTCAATCAGTACAAATAAAATGTCAAAATCTTATATCAGGGGACGGAGGGATTATTACACTAAAATTGCACCTGTTTTTGACCCATTCCGTCGGAAAATAAGTGTGGCCCATCGAGGCCACACTTTTTCCGTGAAAAGTCGACCTCGCTCGCTCCAAGTCGACCGCCGCCGCATCCCCCGTTTCCACCGCCGTAGCCCTGCTCTTCGATCTACGCCGCCGCCACCACCACCGCTGTTGGTCTACGCTCGGAGCCACCGCTGCCCATTGTCTTCTCCACTCTCCACTGCTGTCACCAGAATCACCACCGTTGCAGCCTCGATCTGAACCGGCGCCACCAAGACAATCTTATCTACGCCCATGGTTGTCTCCGACCCAATGGTTAGGTCTCACTCGAAGCATTCATAGTTTCCATTGTCTTGATCCTCATCTTCGGTTACTTTGGTGACCGCAACTTTGTGCCAGGCTATCGCATTGTTCTATTCCCCATCTTGCTGATCCACAAGGTCTAATTTGGTGTCTTGGTTGTAGAGAGAAGGCATATAACTGGCCTTGATTGTTTGGTCTGAACTTTTCATTATATTTGTATATTTTGCAGCTGCTACTGCTAGGCTGCAGTACAGTGTTCTTTTATCTGAATTTTGATGATTAACACAATGGTCGACTATCATAGATGCGCAGAGTTGATTTGGTCTGAATTTTGTTTTTATTTTCTTCTGTTTTGTACCTTCAATTTGGTGTTTTGATTTAAAATTTGGATGTATATTGTGCACCAACCATTATTGGGATGAGTTGATGTTAATGTTTCTTGCTCAAATCATGGGTATAGTCCTATCCTCTCCCAAACAGATTGGCCTGCAGGTATTTTGTTTCACTGGCAAACTTGGGGCACGAGAGGTTACATGTGGATTTTGATTTACAAGTGCAAAAATATTCTCTGTTCCCAAGCAGGCCCTTAGAGTGAAGTATTTGCGTGTTTATACTCTTACTTATTGGACTCTTGTTTTTGCTATCTCTTCTTTTAGACAAAATAAGTAGGAGAGATCGTCGCCGAAATAAACGATAAACCTTGAAGAGTTTCGGCGATGAGCCTCCTGCGGCGGTTCGTGTTTATGGTGGCGAAGGGCTCTTGGCGAGGCAACGAACAGTTCTACATCCTACGCCGTATCAACATGTCGCGCTTCTTCTATCCAGGTCAGGTGCCACGTCTGCTCGTTCCCGGCATCGAGGAGGCTCCCCTGCCTCCGACACGCGCGAGATTTTGTGCTAGGGAACTTGTCAATGGCCACATGGATTTTATGCTGCTCGCGCGCGACAAGGTGTTGGCCGTGGAAGCAACTGGCCGCACCACCATCTACGACGACAGCTTCCGCGTCGTGAGAAGCGGCCCTGTTCTCAAGGCACCCTTGTACTGGCCCATCTCCGTACCTGTCGACGACAGCGGCGTCTACGTCCTCGACAGCAAACACTGCTTCCAGAAGTTAGTCCACGGCAATTCCTCATTTGAGGATTGGACCTGCGAGGCACTCCCGGCGGCGCCCCGAGAAGTGCGCGGTGGATCCCGCCGAGCCTACGCCGTGGTCGGCGGCAACAGCATCTGGATCTCCAACGACGGCGACGGCACGTATGCATACGACATCTCGCGCCTCGCATGGGCGAAGCATGCAGAGTGGGCGCTCCCTTTCTCCGGCCGCGCGGAGTATGTCTCCGAGCACAAGCTCTGGTTCGGGCTTGCAAGGAATAGCACAGGTAACCCCATGTGCGCCTGTGACCTCGCCGCTGCCGCCGAACAGGGTTCTCCGCCGGTCCAGCGCAACATCTGGCAGCAAGATGTCAGGCCGCGAAAGGGGTGGGTGCCTCGTTACTCCAACCTCTTGCACCTGGGCTCCGCTAGGTTCTGCATCGTCAGGATTTTCGCCAAGCCATCGCCGGAGACGGAGTACAAGTCAGAGTGGGACGGGCCCAAGCGTGAGGAAGTGTTCGCCGTCCTGACCGCCGTCGAGGTGGTGCGGTCCGGCGAGCTTGGCAAAGGGCTTCGGATGGTCAAGCACAAATCTGTCCGCTATAGCCTCGGAGATGGATACTGCAAGGTTCAACCGCTCATGGTGTATTAATTAGGGGGCTGTTATTGTGAAATTGCCGGTCATTCGCATGTGGCTGCTTGTGTGGTTTTGGCTGAACATGGTGCTCTTAATTAAATTCTAAAACTGGTTTTATTAGTCATATAACATGTGTGAATGCATGGGCTATTTATCTTTCGATAATGTTTTGTGCAATGATCTTAAGAATGTTGTTCACATTTCTAGTGAAAATGAAAAACTTTTTTTTTAACTTAAGATGATGAAAAACTTAAATTGTTATCTTCTTTAAACACTCTGGGCTATATTTAATTTGATGAATTTTGTAAGTTTGATAATTTGAAGGAGTAGTTATTTGTTAAGTCTGATTTGTTATGTCTAACTTATCACTGGTGCTGAATGGTGTTTGGTTATGGTAATTGTTTTTATGCCTGGTTATGGTTTGGTTGCCTACTACGAGAAGTATCAAGAGGCCGTTTGCTGACAATGAACATATACAGCCATCTTTGTGGGAGGTCATGGACAGATGGTGCTGAACGATGTAGGCTTTGTTGCCTGTTCCCATTAGTAATGTACCAGTATGCCTGTTCCCATTAGTAATCAACCCGTGTGAATGGTTGGTGCTGAAAATTGTAATGTAGTTGTAACAGTCCGTGCTGAATGGAATATTTGATTGCATTACACCATTTGTTTGGCAAGTTAGCAATGGTAACCTGGTTGCCTACTACAATAAGCCTGAATAAGTTGTTTGGTGACAATGATCACATACATGTCAGGTTTGTGGGAGAGATCATAGGCAGATAGTTATGCTTTTCTATTTGTATTAATGGCCTGATTGCTTTATCTGCCTTTACTATTAGTCGATTTTTACTTATCCACGGGGTACTGTACTTTGATTAATAACTAATAAAAGGAATAATGGCTTATCATTTGACTCTATCGACGGTTTTGAATGATGGTTTCGCTAACGTCAGTAGTGTTGACCTGATATTCGTTTCATGTGACACTTATAAGGCTTTAGAATTTAAAAAATATATATACGGGACCCACTTGTCATTTATTTTTAGGGTCCCATTGACATGTAGGGCCCACATGTTATCCTCTCTCCTCCCCTTCCTCCTCCTCTCTCCCTTCTCTCTCTCCCACTTTCTCTTCCCCTTCAGACATACGCGGGGAGCTGGGGCTAGATCCAGCTGGGGGGCGAGGGCCTTTCTCCAAGTCGTGGCTGAAGGGCCGTGACTTGTTGCTCTCTCGAGCGTCACCGGCGCCGCCGATATGGACTTGATGGCTGTCCTCAGGAGCTCCGCCTCGTTCATGTACTACTTCGAGATTGCCCCCATCCCGCTCAGCCCAAACTGCAATCCAATGAACGTCCTACCAAGATTTGCAAATCCTATCAAGAAATGGGATATTTGGTTAGTTCCAATCGATGACAGAACGAGATTAAATCAAGAAAATCAAGGTCAATGGTGAGAAATGGCGTGAGGTGTTTGCTGAAATGATTGCTTGCTTGGAAGATGATCATTTTGGTGTCGCCTTGGAGGAAGAGGGCGCAGCGGCCGACCTTGTCGGTAGTCATGATGGCGACGAAGGTGGAGAAGACGTTGACGAGGGCGGTAGATTATGGTCGCCGCCGGCTTCTTCTGCTCCTACTGCTGCGGTGTTGAAGGCGGGAGGAGCGACGCGGGTGGGGGAGGCAACGGCGTTGTCGCTGGACGCGGTCCTGCACGACACATGCATCATCTCCTCAAACCATGCCTTCCTCCTCTCCACGTCCCCTGACGCAGCCTTACCTTCTTCCTCCTCCATGACGGTGACGACGGACGCGGGCTGCGGCGCAGCCTCAGAGGAGGGGGATGTGAGGGTTGGGAGCTTGTCGCCGGCCCTCGACCAGGTCAACACCGCCATCTTAGAGAAACCGTCCTCCAAAACCATCAAACGAGTCAAATTACACCAGTTTAAACAGTTGAAGGTCGAGATATCCCGTATCGTGATTCAGCCATATAAATCAGATTCGGTCCCTTAGTTAAGGGAGTCAAAGTGAACCTATTCCATTTGAGAAACACTGGAATTCTACTCAGCGTCCGGGCTGGACGGACGTGGGCCGAATAGGTTTCCTCTTCAGAAAGCGACCCGTTTCCGGAGTGGAAAGCAGCAAATATAACCCACAACCCCCACGGCTTCTGCTCCCGATTCCTCCCGTATCATCTTGCTCCCCAAACCAAGCCAACCCCCTCGACGGCCGGAACACATCGGGGGGACGCAGCCATGGTGCTCGAGGTTCGCCGCGCAGCTCGCCGCCCTCCCTCCCACAGATCGATTTCGCCGAGCTCTGATTCACTTATTTATCGCTTTTTTTGCGTGGCTCCCCTCTCCGCAGGCGACGATGATCTGCATAGACAACTCGGAGTGGATGCGGAACGGCGACTACTCGCCGTCGCGATTCCAGGCTCAGGCCGACGCCGTCAACCTCATCTGTGGCGCCAAGACCCAGGTACGCCACCGTCCGACCCGATCGATCCGCGCGGCCTTCGTTGTGTGCGATTTAGGGTTCTGGGCTCCGGATCTGACTGTTTTTTTTTTCGGGGGCCTTTGCAGTCCAACCCGGAGAACACGGTGGGCGTCATGACGATGGCCGGAAAGGGCGTGCGCGTGCTCGTCACTCCCACCAGCGACCTCGGCAAGATCCTCGCTTGTATGCACGGTGAGTTCCCATCAACCCCATATTTAGTACTTTAGTGGATATGTTTGTAGTTGTAGCAGAGGAAAATTTGTACCAATTAGTCAATTTGTATGACTTTATGAACTTAGCATGGTTAGAATCTGGGTAATGGTAATGCTGATGCCTTGTGGTTGCATGACTATGTAGTTGGCCAGTTACTCCGTTCTGGTACTTGGTAGTTTTCTAATGAACCGATGTCCAACAATGTATGCTGCAGGACTTGAAGTTGGTGCTGAAGCAAATTTGGCTGCAGCAATTCAGGTTGCTCAGCTGGCTCTGAAGCATCGCCAGAATAAGAGGCAGCAACAGCGGATTATAGCTTTTATTGGAAGGTATGATAACTTGTATGGTACCTTTTTATATGAGTCGCGGTTGATGATGCTGGCCTAATCTTTCAGCCCTGTGAAATACGACAAGAAAGTTTTGGAAACAATCGGGAAAAAGCTGAAGAAGAATAATGTGGCTCTTGACATCGTTGACTTTGGTGAAACCGATGATGATAAGCCTGAGAAACTGGAAGCGCTAATCTCTGCTGTGAACAGTAGTGATAGCAGCCACATCGTTCATGTCCCTCCCGGTGAAAATGCCCTTTCCGATGTGCTTATAAGGTAATAATGTATCAATTTGTTCGGGCTCTAGGTTGTTGTTTTAATGTATTTCTGCTGACAAATTAATATCCCTCTTTTCACAGTACTCCTATCTTCACTGGTGAAGAAGGTGGAAGCGGTTTTGCTGCTTCTGCAGCAGCAGCAGCAGCTACTGGTGCAGCTGGATTTGAATTTGATGTGGACCCAAATGTAGATCCAGAATTGGCACTCGCCCTGCGGTTGTCCATGGAAGAAGAGCGAGCAAGGCAAGAGGCTATTGCGAAGAAGGCCGCAGAAGAATCTTCTGGTGCTGAAAATAAGGACCATGCCTCAAGCTCAAACGCTGATTCTGTTATGGCAGAAGCGGAACCTGCCTCAAATGCTGCTGATGATAAAAAAGATCAGCCGAAGGTATTGTCGTTATCCTACAGTTAATCATCACATTGTGAAAAGTTCTACAATTGGGGTATTATGTCATATAGCTATCTAAATCATTTTAAACTTCATCAACACACACCATTGGACTTGTATAGCAATTTACAAAATTACCAATGGCATTCAATCTGGACCACGCTTTATATAAACAAAAAGTTACCTGGCAGCATTGCTTGTCAATGCAAGCATAACAGTTATTTTCATGTTGGGGTTTACAGAAGAAGCTCTGTAGTAGCAATATTCTAGTACTGCTTGAACAATATTGTTGCTGATGTAGGCTTTTTGGCCATTTCTTTCTTTGTCGAGATGTGATAACTATATAACAAGGTTGCGATCAATATTTGCCCACTGAAGAGAAAGCAACAACTATTTTGTTTTGCTGGTGCATCTCTTGTTAGCACGTAAAAAAAATAAATAAAATTCAAACAATTTTGTGAAGTTCATTGATAAAGACTTTTCACTTTGTGGTAAAATGAAATGAACCCCATATGACTACAGAGTAACTTTGTGATCCTTGATCAGTAGAATCAATTCATTCAGAAATCATCACTTAGTGCTGCTTAGTCATGATTCTGCTGATAGCCCATATGTATGTGCTAATTGTTTCATCCACTCTTTATTTTGCTTCGAACATATTTTTTTGCCTAAATATTGTTGTCAGTATTTCTGATTTAATTCAAACAAGTCATCTCATCCCACCTACCTTGATCTTTGATAATTGAAGTTTGCAAGGAACCATTTCAATTAAAACACATGATTGCATTACTTTTTTTCATTTCAATTAGTATGCATCAGATATTGATTTATCTGAGTTGAGAATGCTGTTTAGATGGACAAGAGTTGGCTAATATAGATGTGATGTGATCACAGGAAGATGATGATGCTCAGCTACTACAACAGGCTCTTGCAATGTCAATGGAGGAGGGTTCTTCAGGGGCTGCAGCGGCTGATGCTGCTATGGCAGAGGCTGCTGTAGATGACCAGGACTTGGCACTAGGTAGGTCCTTTTCTCCGCTGAGCTCTTTCATTCTTCTATAACTTTAATTTAATTCATTCAAACGACAATGATTCAGGACTTACTAGTTCATAGGTGTATCTTCTTATCCATTTTTGTAGCACTGATTCATTTCCAATACAAGCTAACTTGTAAAGAAAAGCTCAGCATGCAAAGAAACACATTTAGACATTTCCATGCTCTTTGGTCTGATGTTTAACCAATTTGATTTCTGCGCAGCTCTTCAAATGTCTGTCCAGGACGCAGGCGGGTCTAGTCAGTCTGATATGAGCAAGGTGTTTGAAGACAGATCATTTGTTACATCCATCCTTAACTCTGTAAGTATTTGTTTAGAACCAATGACATGCTAATCTATAGATATTTTCATTGCGTATGACTGACTCTTGCTGTTTTCCCCCTTCAAATTGTAGCTCCCTGGTGTTGACCCCAATGACCCCTCTGTGAAAGATTTGCTGGCATCATTGCATGGGCAGGGCGAGGTATGCTTTTCTCTATCCTTTTAGATTGTTGAGTTTCAATCAAACTTAGAAGGTCTGAGTACAGTTATGACATTAGACTTTCTATTGTCCCTCGTACCTTAAGTTTCTTGTATGCGAGTATTTTTGTGTTTTTTGTCACATGCTGGAACGGTCTGTTTTTCTTCTGGAGACTGCTAAATAATCTTATATTATTTGGAGTAAATCTTTCGCTGGGACATTCAAATCTTTACCAGATAAATAATCAAGCCTTGTATTCTTCTGATAAGTGATTCTGATCCTGTGAAAACTTAGAATTGCATATTTGAAGAAAATGCTTTGGAACAAATAATGATTATGCATGAGTAACAGGAATTCGGATTTTCTAAGTTGCCAAGTCGTTGCAAATAGTTGTTTTGTTAATGGCTTATTGAAACAAGCTCATTCTGCTATAGCTATACTGTAACTTTGAGTTTTATATACGATCTGCATTGGTATGTAACTTTACTATTTTAGAATCACTGTCAGTTTCCCTGCATTTATATCATTTTCTCATTTGCGTACATCCATTATCACTAAACTATGTACGCTCTTCTTCCTGACAGCAAGAGAAGAAGGAAGACAAATCAGACAAGCCAGAAGATGAGAAGAAATAAATCAACTCCTTTGTGTCTTCCTTGTAAGATTTCAGTATGCTGTCTTACCTCCATATCCGATATGCATGTTTTGCATATAGTCTATTCAGCCCTTGATGACTATCGTTCTGGTTGTACGATATCTTCTACTATAAACTAGAAGCTGGCGAGTTGGCTGCATAAATTTGAATTTTGGAGCAGCAAGTTATGTCCTCAAGATACTTGCATGTAAAACTGGTCTATGTGTGCAGAGGTTCTGTCGCTCTGCTCTTTTTAGGACTGTCGTTTCATTGTTCACAATTATGATTAGCATATTACTGTTTCTATGCAAAACTAACGTGTTAACGTGTGCAATTTGCATCAAAGTTTACCATTTACCCCACGCAACTTATCAAAACGTTGCGCGACCTCGCAGGCAACCACCTCTTGATCAATCTCGCAGGCGCCCGAAGCATTGGAGATATCTGGTCTCGCTTTATTTGGTCATGGATTCTACTTATCCTCGTGTAACTGTACTTCAATTAAAAAACTTAAAGGGATAATGGTTTATCACTTCTTCTGTCGTCATTTTACGATTTGCAATTGTTTACTGTCGTGGAATTTACTTATTCGCTTCTATATAATTCGTCTTCTTTCCCGCATATGTGGTTTTGGTTTGCACACCTAAATTTGATACTAGCATGAGTACATCGTTTTGTCTCGTTTAGATATGTTTGTCTCGTTTTGGTAAAATAACAGGAATCATAATATCATGTCGTGTTAATATAGCAGTCATTTCAGAAAACAAATGTAACTTTGTTATCAAGTTCGTTTTGTAAGATAGGGAGTGGTTGAGTCTTGTTAAAAGATTTGAGTATTTGACCACCTCTACGGGATAGACCTCAACAGAAAACTGTTGAGTAACGGCAGCAAGTGATTGAGTTCAGTAGTTCCTCATAGAAAATTATTGACTCTAGAGATATGGTAATATGGAGAAGACAAAATTGTTTGAAGCACGCACAGAACCGGAAGCGCCCCTTGTTTCAAAGAGAGGAGGACGGGTTATTCATATTTAATTTGATGGTCGGAGGCGAATTGAAAGCTAAGCAGTGGTAATTAAGACCCCCGGGGGAAAATAGGGATGTCTCCTACGTTACCCATAATATGTAGAAGTATCGACGTAATTTCATAGAGTCATTCGATCTTAATGCTACATGAAGAACATAAGCCAGATGACGGAACGCGGAGACCTAGGATGTAGAAGAGAGACCTAGGATGTAGAAGATCCTGATTTTTGGGTGAAATTACTCAAAGTAGAGATTTTTTTTTACAGAACTGTAAATACTGTTACTAAAATATGATTATCATAAACTAAAAATTTAACATCAAATTTATCATTAAACTATATATTTAAAGTAGAATAATGCAAAGTATATATTACTATAGGAAGCTATATAAAAGAATGTTGTTTACATCCAAAGAGTTGTAGTTTTTTTATATTTAATAAAATTGATACTATAGTTTTGCGATATACTATCATGTCTTAACTTGTGGTCCTGCAGCCAGACATATAATAAGTTGGGTAGGTGTGAGTTGGGGTGGTTACCGCCACCCTACGGTAACACGGTTACCGCAAGATATACCGTAGTTTTAAAAACTGATAAGGTTACCACACGTAATAACCGTCTGTAAACATTGGGCGTGAGATGCAAAACAATACAGCATACGTTATACCTCAAATACAGCATACGTTATACCTCAAATCTTTTATGAAGTAGCTTTGTAATGCAAAATTTTGATATTTTGAGCTTCACTCTGTTGGCTTTGATTATTTAACAATTCTTACCCGTTGTTATAGACTCGGATTATCCAACATGTAGTGTCAATACAATCAAAATGACAATGAATAGAGCGCCAAATTATCGAATTTTACTAATGCACCATCTAAAACATATAGTTTTATGGTAATCGGTACTAAGATACATATTTTATACTAAAGTTTTATGATAAACTCAATGATAGATATGCTGTTTTGTGATATAATTTATCATCTTACTCTTTCCGTCCCAAAAACCTTAACCTAGACGGGGACGTAAGTACAATAAATCTGAACAGCCATTGCTCGGTTGAGTTTTTTTTTGGACGGTAGAATCGTAACGTCGAGAACTTGAGATAGCTCGTTGAGGACTTGGGCCCTGTTCGTTAGTCCAACAAAAGTTGAATGGAGATGAAGATTTTCGTGGCACGCATTTTAAACTGCTAAACGGTACGTTTCGTGTGAAAACTTTCTATATGAAAGTTGTTCTAAAATATCATATTAATCTAATTTTTAAGTTTGTAATAATTAAAACTTAATTAATCACACGTTATTACCGTATTGCTTTGCGTAAAAAACTTAATCAAACACCCACATTGAGGTATCTACATGTTGATGTAGTTTCGCGTAATTGACTAAAATCAAAGTACTGCACCACCACCCCCCCCCCCCACCCCCACCCCCACCCTGGGCGCCGCCGCCGCCTTCTTCACTGGCCCGCCTCGCCGCCTCACAGCACCCACGAACCGCTGTGTCCTCCCCTCTCGCACTCTCGCTCCCAGGGCGGCGCCGCCACTCTCTCCGAGCCGCCGCCACCCCCTCCCCACCTCCCAACCTCATCCCCCGTGTCTCCTCGAGTTCTCGATGAAACTGGTAAGCGCAAAACTCCTTCCCTCTCCCTCTCTCTCTCGCGCGCCCCAGGCGCCTGATGCTAATGCTCATGTGACGTCGCAGACCTGCCTGGACACCGGAGTCGATGGAGGCTACTACACGCCGGCGAGTCATCTCCTGGAGGTGGAGGGGCTCCGTATTCTCCTTGACTGCCCCATCGACCTCTCCGCTCTCACGGCGTTCTCCGCGGTGCCCCTCGGCGCATCGTCCTCCTCCGGTGATGCGGAGGACCTAATCCGCGGTGTGCCCTACTACCGGTCGCCTACCGCGGTTGCGGCCGCCAAAGCAGGCCACATAGACGCCGTGCTTGTGTCATCCGCTACGGGGCTGCTTGGCCTCCCGTTCCTCACGCGATTCCCCGGATTTGCGAACACCAAGGTGAATCCCCCCAACCCTCTTAACTTGTACCACTTCAATCTATAGCACTCTAGGCTGAGAATTAGCGAGTAGTGTTTAGGTGATATGGCTTGCTGCAGATCATTTTATTGTTTGGAAAATGCAGGTTGTTACGTCTTAAAAGTTGTCTGTTTGAAGTGTTAGCCATATTACAATGTTCCCTTCAATAATCCGAAGCAAATGCCTCAGAAAATAAAGTTAAATACGAAGTCAAACAATCCGAGATACATCAAAACTTGCTCAACGATTATGTCACTTCACTTTGCAGTCATTTTAAGCCCTAACCATTATGTTGGCTTTTATTCTTCTTTTGAATAGGTCTATGTGACAGAGGTAGCTGCTAGGATGGGAAGTCTAATGATGAGAGAGTTGGTAGAGATGCACCGTGAGTTTGTAAGGTGTTATGGACCAGATAGGGATCAGTCACCAGTGTGGATGGAAGGGGAGAAGCTCAAGAAACTCATGTCAGTGTTGCAGAAGATCACGACTGAAGACGAGGAAAATAATAATTTAGCTGCTTTGGTGTCACTTTACAGGTCCACTAAAGAGTTTATATTAGAAGATAGTGCTTAATTTCACCTAGCTTATATTGGCTATTGGTCCAGAACGTTGAACTTACATTCTTACTAGAGACAAACTTAAAAACTTTTATGAATATTTAATACACAAAAAAAATGTACTTGAATAATTGAATTTTGTCAAGATTTGACTTTCAAATGCTAATAAGAATCTGATAAGATAATTACTGTTTACACCCTAGTTAGTTTCAGTATCAGTCCAGTGCGTTATATCAATGATGGTTTTATTACTTGAGCAAAGAAAGATTCAGATACTGCCACATGTCTGCGGCCTATCATCTTATTGTGTTACTTGTGTAACTGGTTAAGAGTTATTTGCTTCCTGCAAACAAATTTCTGCACTTGGGACATATGGTGGTCATTAAATTTTATGACTGGAAGATTTGTAAGCAGTTCATGGAAGTGAGTTACCATTTTTTTTCTCAACTAATGGGATTTATATCTATCTGGTGCAGTCTGGATAATATAGAAGAATGCATGCAAAAAACCCAGTATGTAAAATATGGAGAGGAGGTTTGCTTCAATGGCATGTTGATGCTGAAAGCCTCTAGTTCTGGTCTCGAACTTGGCAATTGTGTTTGGACAATAAAAGGTCCAAGAGCAAGTATGACCTACTTGCCGAGCTCCATATTTGTGTCAGCTCATGCATTAGACTTTGATTATAGCTCTCTGAAGGGAAATGATGTGATATTGTTTTCGGATTTTTCTTCCTTAAATGGCATGTATGATGATAACAAGAAGATGGGTGAGCATATAGTGGATGAAACTGACATTCTCCTTGCTAGTAATTCAGTGTTCAGGTATTGCTAGTGTGATGCACTTCTGCTTTGCTGGCACATACTTTGTTAATTCAAGCTTTATATGTTAACTATAAACTCCTTGTAGCTTTGTTGTTCAAGCACTGAAAAATCTTTCAGGGATGATGGCATGGATGAAGATGAAACCATCAAATTCCTGTGCAGCAATGATGATATTGCAGAGGAGATAGAGAGAATCAGCTTCATATGCTCATGCATCATTGATGCAATAAATTCTGGTGGTTCTGTATTAATACCAATAGGACGAATTGGTATTATTCTTTTGCTTTTGGAACATATGTCAGAAACACTACATTCTTCCAACATGAAGGTAATTTGTGGCCCTTGTAATCATATTGTGGACCTCCTTGTTAATTCTTATAGAGCTTATACATTTTGTGCATGTATGTAGACCTCAATTCTCAGTATTCTTGTAGCCTTGTGAGTTATGAAGCATATGCTTTTACAGGATATGCCATTTGGATTTGCTTATGTGGATGTGTCAAGTTGAGAGTGCCTGATTTACTGCTAACTACGTGTAAGATGGTTAGCTTCTAGGAGGGTTTAAATATGCATGTGATACGAAGTGTCCTATACCTGTAGTAACAAGTTATTTTTCATATCGGTAGTTCTATGCCCCTTCTTTTAATTCTACTATGAAATTTGAAGTTTATGCCACATCGCTATTCACATCTGTTTTTGGATGACAATTTTTTTCAGAGTCAGGTTCCCATATTTATGATTTCTGAGACAGCAGAAGAAATAATTACTTTTACCAATGCCTTGCCTGAATGGCTATGCAAGTCACGCCAAGAGAAGGTACTTCCCTTTACCCTGTGTGTTTTGAAGTATGAAAGTAATACTCCTCATCATCTTACTCTAATGTGTGGTTATCCTGCAGCTTTTCTCTTGTGAGCCGTTATTCGGCCATGTAGAGCTTTTGAAGGAAGGCAAACTATCACTGTTCTCTCATTTATACTCAAAGGGCCTGCTGTAAGAATTTGATCAGAAATTATTATATCTTCAGTTGTTACCTTTATTTGCAATATGATAGAAGGCCTTTTGATTACAGTAATATGTGTCCACCTTGTTCTTAGAAGTCCTGTGCTGGCTTTCTTTTTATTTGTTATTTTGGTTGTGATTAATTTTATGATCCACATTTTGTATTCTTTTGAGCTCACCTGCACTTAAAAATATTGTTCTTAGTCTTTTGTTCCCTTTATGATATACTGTGTAACAAAAAAAAAATCCTGCCAGGGCAGCTTGGAAGGAACCTTGCATTGTATTTTGTCCACATTGGAGTCTTAGGCATGGCCCAGCTGTCCATTTGCTTCATCGATGGCGTGCAGACAAACGATGTCTTCTTGTTTTGGAGGTACAAATGCCCAATCTGTCATATGAACCTATCATATATTCAACCTTGACAGTTGTTGAGATGCTGAAGTTTATAAATATTTCATTTTCAGCAAGGAGTTGATGCTGAGTTGACTCTAAAACCTTTCATGCCTCTGGCGATCCAGGTCCTTGGGTGTTCTTTCCTTTCTGGAATAAAGTATGATATTGAATTCAAAATGTTATGTTTCTACTACTTCAGAGCGAAGACTATACGCTGAATAAAAACTTGCTGCTATGTTGTCTAGGGTGGGGAAAATTGATCCATTACTGGGATTGCTGAAACCAAAGCTCATACTGGTATGCTATTCATGGCTACTATTTATTTCTTATTTCTATTTGGGCCAAGCTATGATTTCCTTATGGTCTACATTACTATGCAGTTTCCTGAAGGTCAGAAGTCGTTGTGTCCAGCCACAGATAAGCAACCATGGTCATTCCTGTATTACTCAAAGGGGAAAACAATCGAGGTCCCAAATATGCGGGAAGAATTCGAGGTGCGCATGACAACTGAGGTTGCCTTTGGGTTGCAACCTAGGCAGCTGGACAAGACCACAGCTGTTGCGAGGTTGAAAGCAAAGCTCCTTCTAAGCAATGGACAATATGTGCTAGCTGCTGCAAAGAGTGAATTAGATCGATCAGAGCGGCACTTGCTACACTGGGGAACTGTGGACGCGAGCTGTATACCGTCAGCCTTGCAGGAAAAGGGAATTGTATGCTCGTTTTCTGCAGACGCTGATTACTCTGCACCTTCAGATCGTGAACGTGTAATTTCGATCACTAGTCCAGGAGAAGCCCTGGTGAAGGTGACATCTGAAAGGACTACTATTTACTGTGATGATGAAGAAACAGCAGAGCGTGTTTATGATGCTCTTCGTAGTATTTGTAATGGGATATGATGTATATATACGATTTCACTCAAGAAAATGACGTGCCTTCGTTTTTGCTGTCGAAGGTTTGAAACCACCTAAACAGAAACATCTTTTAGTCTCCGTGTGGTTAGCTGTGCTTTGTGTGTGCCTCTGTGTGGGTCTGTGGGATGATGTGTAGGCGTGCATTCACCATCTTGGATGAGCTCTTTATGCCATGGCCCCCTGGTCAATACTGTGAGATCTGCAGGTCCTAACGAGTATTCAGCACGAGCTGATAACGAAACGCAAACACTGCGTTGTCGGTGAGAAGTTGCAGTAAGGCAGGCAACTGGCCAGCTTAGTTCTACCTCTCATCACGAACATGATTTGGACTCGGATCTTGTCCATGCATGATGTTTACTCGCGCTGTCGCGCAGAGTGAAATTGGATTGAACACCAGCAACCGATCGACTTCGTTTTCCATTCGTAATTTCAAATAGTCATCCGTTCGATCATCAACTCCCTATATTCATTGAACTATAAAGCTAGCTATAGTTTTGGAACGGGGGAGTTTTTATTACTTCCTCCGTTTCACAATGTAAGTCATTTTAGTATTTTCCACATTCATATTGATGTTAATAAATCTATACATATAATGGCTTATATTGTGAAACGGAGGGAGTATGTTAGTGACTGATTTTTCATAACATATCTAACCTTTCTCAATGCCTCGTACCGTCTTAAGATTCCTGCAAAACCTTATATGTAAAATGCTAACCTTTCTCCTTCCTCGTGATCCAATTCATTGTTGATGTCGCCCCTAGCTCTAACATATGTTTCCCTCTAGCCACCTCATCAATGTCATATCACTCTCCCGGTCCCTCCTCTGGTGACTTGTTCTTTCATATCCTCTATCGCCATGCTCACCTCCTGACCATATGTTATCCTTCACCCCTGCCATTGATCCCTTCCACCGCCCTCCATCCCTGTAGTTTCACTTTTTGTCATCCACTTGACCTCCTCACTAAACTGTCCTCACCACTATCTCTCCACCCCAATCTGGTCCTAGCCTAGAAACCTAATCCAACAATTTTTGATAGGTACCAATGTCGTCAATGCCAAAAAAAAGGTGTCTTTATTAGGGAAGCAGATCCTATAACGTGAACGCCCCTGATGTGATCACTAACATGTGGGCCCCACTACATTCCTTTGACTTCACGTCAGAGGATATCAATCCTCTATTAGTGTGCACATGGTTTTGCGACAGAACGGGATATGATGATCCCATTCTTGATTTTTGAGATAGGATGGTTTTGTCTTGTGCTTGGTCGAGGAGATCAGATGAGACCATCACCTTTTCTTTTGTTGAAGGCACATGGATGGTGGGGTACGACATTGAACCCACCTGCTAGCCTCACGAATGAGCCATGTTCCACGTGGTATGAGTTGGTCCGACGAATTTTTAGGAACAGGTCGTCTCGTATCTTAGAAGAATAGTTCCCTCTAGAGATGATTTCGTCCCATCTATCTTCAAACCAAACACTTAAAAATATATCCTCATACCATGTCTCATGGATCAAACACATCATCTCGAGGACTCATCGTTTGTGGAGGAAGTCGTTATCGGTGAGTCCTCCCTTCCATTTGCTCCCATTCTCATGAGACCTGCTCAACTGAAGATCGAGGACAGTTTGGATGCCCTCGGATTAAGATTCATCAAATATTCAGTGGCTTCAAATTAAACACTGAGATTTAGAAACCGTATTTATTTTAAATAATCCTATTAATTCACCTACTAGAAGTCTAGAACTAGTCAGATTTCCTGCGGACCCAGGTCCTGAGCCATGGCTTAGGCCCTGGGTACCAAAGCCCATATAAATATACGAAATTTCATCATGTAATGATCTCTGACCCAATGCTCAGTGGGTTGACCTAGGTCCTAGCCCAAACCCGAGTCCGCTCTTGATTGCAATCTTATTTGTATACCGATCCATTTCAGTACTGTAACGTAGATCACTACGATTAACTGCAGACCTTTCTCTTATTCTTTTGCGATTAACAACAGCGCTCGGAGATTCCAAGGTGACTCGTTCAGCCAGAACCCATTGCTAGTCCATACAAGTCCCTTGCCCACCAGGCCAGCACGAGTGCGCAAGCGCAACGATGCACATGCCATCAATCACCGCCCCGTGCATCCGCATCCAAATGCTATCATCCAACACGGGACACGGCTCTCGGACGCCGCCAACCATACGGAGCTCGGAGCCAGCCAACGGATGCTCCAGCTCCAGATCACCATCGACCCGACCAGGGGCCTAGATCGCTAGCGTACGTCTCGTCTCCTCGCGGCGGTCGCCAGCAAGTCAATCATGGCGTGGGTGGACCGGCCGGTGCCCCGTCTCTCCGCGCAGCAGGCGGGCTATCTACAGGCACTGACAGCGGAGCACTGTCGCGTCCCTCTCGTCCTCCAGGTCGGCGACTAGACGCCGTGCGCGCCGTGTGCTACCTGCTGCGCGCACGGCTTGTTTTGACGGAACGGGGCGAGATGTCTTGTTTTGGCGGGGTTTCGTCGTCGGCAGATGTCACGCCACGATCGGTTGATATCTTCTCCCCTACCCACTGTCGAGCAGAGCAGTCGTGCAGGCGCACTCCATTATTTCGTTGGTGGTTTGCGTTTGGAGTACTACTACATTGGCATCGGACGTCCACGTCGTTGTTGTGTTGGTAGAGGGGCCTCTTGATTCTGACGAAGGGACGCGGCGTTCTGTTCGCGCATGGAGTAGATCGTCATCTAATCATTGACGAAGCAACAGTTGCATCCAGAACAAAAGAAAGAAAGAAAGAAGAGGAAGGGAAAACGACACATTAATTGAGGGAGAAATTTTGGGTGAAGAAAATTTCGATTTGAGTTGCTTACATTAGTTACCAAACTTTGTTCGTGCACTTTTCTGTTTGACCTTTTATTTTCTGTGTGACAAATCATGATTGTGCCATCTTTTTACCTATCCGAATGTCTGTCTGTTAATCGAGAAAACTGGGAACATCAACTGAGTGCAGCTAGAATATGGGACAGAGGTAGTACGAGCGTACCACCAACAACTCATGATTGGCCATGATGCTAGTATTTACCCAACGGCTTCACCGTTGAATTAACACTGCGTAGTACGTACGCCACCAAATGCACTGATAATTCGTTACTCTGGACTCTGGAGACCCGACTAGTTGCTTGCACTGTTTGACCATTCGTCTTATATAAAAAATTTTAGAATTATTATTTATTTTCTTTGTGACTTACTTTATTATCCATGTACTTTAAGCACAATTTTTCGTTTTTATATTTGCACAAATTTTTTAAATAAAACGAGTGATCAAACATTATATGAAATCTTATATTATAAGACGGAGGGAGTACGTCGGTACGACAACCAGATTACTACTACTACCACTTGTCCACTTACCAAGGCTACTTCCAGCCGGGCGAACGTGTTCCGCTAGCGGAACCAGGTTCTGGACCTCTTCTGATGCAATCGTCAAAAAACAAAAGGCCATACTACAGCTCAACAAATAGTCCCGATAGGACAGTACTGCTACGCATTACTGACCGAGAAACCCCTGCCTTTTCAGCTCAGCACAAGCACACTGAAACATCCTTTACAGCTCCGCATTTTGTCGCTCCATCACGTGCACTGTTAGAGCAAGCTTAATAGAATAGCCGACCACTAACTCCAATTCATCTATAGTCAATCTAATAGTTTATTCATACATTAGTTACATACTACACTATTAATACTTGGTCCCACCTGTCATACACATACTGTGTCTTAAAGTCCGTGCTACAGCTGACTACCAATCTGTAGCCTGCTGTCTTTCTCTCTCCTTATTTATCTTCTTAAAATATGTTTGCAGCTGGTTTATAGCCTGCTATTGTACCCGCTCTTAGCCTCGCCGGTGCAAACCTAGGGCTTGTTTGGCATAGCTCCAGCTCTAGCTCCACCCCTCCTGTAGCTGGAGTTCAGCCAAACAGTTTCAGCTCCACCAAAACTGGGAGTGGAGTTGGGTGGAGCTCTCTTACAAAATGTACTAGAGTTGTGGAGCTGGGTTTTGGCTGCTCCACAACTCCACTCCAGACTCAACTCTCGGAGTTATATTTAGGAGTTGGAACTGTACCAAATAGGCCCCTAGTTAACCTAGATCGAGCAGAGCACCATTGCCCATTGCCCTGTGTCATTTGACCATCAATACACCACCACCAACCGGCACAATCGCTCATCAAAACCGGGCGTGGAAACGCACCACGCACCAGAGGAGAAGCACGTAGTACGGTACGCTCCGCACGAACTAAAAGAGCCTCGAGCAGCTTTCAGTCGCCGCGAATCACGCGGACGAGATTCCTCGTCGCACGCGCCGAGAAAATTTTTAACCGGCGCGTCTGCGCGACCGCACGGACGCACGGTACAACGGCTCTTCTGTTTCACGGAATTCCACCGACGCGCGCGTGCGTGAGGATGTGAGATCGGTGCTGTTCAAGAGAGGGCGAAAGGAGGCGAGGTCCGAGGCCCCATGGCCGGTCTCCCCAGTCCCCACCAGGCCACCACCGTTCTCTTCTTTTCGCGCGGCTTCCAATTGGGCAAACGGGCCATTGCCTCCCTTACCTTCCAAGCAAAGAATGGTGAGTTCGGGACGGGCACGGTTCATGACGAGCCTCGCCGTGATAGATCCTAGGCGAAGCGTGCACTAGCTCCCATGCGTGCCTGCACGAAGAGACCGGTAAATCCTAGTAGTACCAGTACTCCTTCCGTCCTAAAAAAAAAAAGATAAAATCTGAGTTTCTGTGTCCAACGTTTGACCGTCTGTCTTATTTGAAAAAATTATAAAAAAAATAAAAACATAAGTCACACATAAAGTATTAATCATGTTTTATCATCTACTCCCTACATTCCATAATATAAGACACAACCACTTTTTTAGATGTTCTATAATATAAGGCATGCATGCATTTAGGCAATTAACTATGGCCCCTTCTCCATTAAATTATTACTTTTTTAAATTTTCCACTCTTGTGTTCTCTAATTCTATTAGATACATGCATTGTATTTATTAGGATGATCCAAACTACAAGATGATAATAATTATTTCTTAGTCTTTGGGTTAGGGGTGATTATACTTTATATTTTGGAATGGAGGGAGTAACAACAATAAAAATACTAGTTATAAAAAAAATTCATATAAAACGAACAATCAAACGTTGGACACAAACCGGTTTGTCTTTTTTTTTATTATTTTAGACGGAGGGAGTAGAGATCATCTACTAGTTTTTTTTTTTAAAAAAAGTAGAGATCATCTTGCCGCGCGATGGCATGGTCACCGTGATGATTGTAACCGTCAAATTTCTGAGAGGTTTAATTTGGCTTACCACTACTGCTTTGTTTGCCTGTTTTTGCATCGTGCGGGACTCGTGCTTTTATTCTAGACGTGATGCGGGGGAAAAAATGCGTTGTACCCAATGCATTATCTCCTTTTTCTTTCATTTAGAAAAGGCGGGTGAGGGAATTTTATGCTGGTTGGCACCCTTTTTCCCTCTTTTATAAAGTCCACCCGACCTCACCTAATGTCAAAAGAAACCAACGGCAGGAGGAGGGAGACACCTCGAGGAAACCACAGCACCCAAAGAACAAGAAAGGCGATACCCCTTCTCCCACCACCACCGTTTCCGTCCATCTCCATCCTCACCGCCGGCGACGCTCACCTCCGACGACCGATCGGCGACCTGCTTCAGCCATGGCAATGGCTTACAAGATGGTAATCCAGTCTGTCACACACCTTGGTTATTGAGTCCATGGGTCGTCGTCGTTGCGGCGTTCTGATGGAGTATGTGGGTTGGGTGCGTCTGTGCAGGCGACGGAGGGGATGAACGTGAAGGAGGAGTGCCAGAGGTGGTTCATGGAGATGAAGTGGAAGAAGGTGCACCGGTTCGTGGTGTACAAGATCGACGAGCGGTCGCGCGCCGTGCTGGTGGACAAGGTGGGCGGCCCCGGCGAAGGGTACGAGGAGCTCGTCGCCGCGCTGCCCACCGACGACTGCCGCTACGCCGTCTTCGACTTCGACTTCGTCACCGTCGACAACTGCCAGAAGAGCAAGATCTTCTTCATCGCCTGGTAATTAATTAACCCAACCCAGCTCCTCCCTCTAATTAATCTCTTATCAAGTGATTCGATTCCATCTTATTCCATGTCTGATCTCGATTAACTAGCGGTAATTCAGGATCTTGTTAGGAAAGGTAAACACGGTGAGCTGTATCCATCGTTAGATGCCATATCTCGAGCGTTCTTATATAAGGTGCATATTAAATCGTCTCTTCTGCTGTCCAAACCGCAACGGCACAAGTTGTTCTCTGAAAGAACTCGTGCTTTGGAAGATACAGTTTGGAAGATATGCAAGCGATTGATAAACTGCGGGCTGCGGCAACTAGCTAAAGAGAACAAATCCCTTTTCGCCTTTTGCACTAATGAAGAACTCTAAGTTCATGCAATTACACAATGTACGCGCAACTTACTTAATACCTAAACCTCGATTGATCATAGTCGTTTCGTACCATAAGAAAAGATGTCACATATCACAATCACTCATCGCGTCATGATTGAGAAATCAAATTAATTCTGGCACCTTACATACTATTGTACACTGGCAGACAAGTCCTCCTGAGCCTTATTAGGTGCTGACGAGCATCATAAAAACGACTAAAAATCTGCAGGGCGAATGACTGTTCCAATCAATGCCGCATCCTTATCGCAAAGAAGGATGGATAGGTCACCAAGCTTTCTCTATTTTCCACAAAAAGTTTGCTTGCCTCTCAGACGCATCCCCGTTGCCTTGTCAAACGAAGCTTTAGTCGAAATCATGACGGGGACCATACTTTCTTGATAAGGCCTTCCTTTGATCCTTCCCCTTTTCCTTGCCCCCATCATCTTTGTTAATCACTGTTGTCTTTAGTACACTTCATGCATAATTTTGCTTAATTAACCTCCACTGCCAAGGCCGGTTCTTTTATCAGATCTGATCTGGCCTGAATCCACCTGTTGTCGATCTGTCTGTCCTTGTATATTCATAGATCCATCATCAAAAGCAAGGTTCGTGCGCACCCACGCCAGTAGTAGCCACAGCTGCAGTATTATTGTCCATTCAACATTTCACTGTCTTTAGTGCAGTTCAATTACTTCTTTCCTGGCATGTCCTTTTGTCAAGAAACAAAGATTATCAGATAAGATCGAGAGGTATACTTTAACACCCAACAAACAACACAATTAGAGTACTGTTAAGTGAGTCCATCTGCTATCTAGCTCTAGTTTCCTTTTGTTAAAGCACTTTGAAAGGACTTTGGTTCGATAGCAACCGCTGCAGTTGCAAATTTGCAATATTGTTTAGCGAGTAGCAGCCTGCACTGTCGTTGATTGAGGATTCGTTGCTTGTTTTGCCTACCGTCATGGGCCTTTTTCAGGTCACCGACCGCATCGAGGATAAGAGCCAAGATTCTGTACGCGACGTCGAAGCAAGGGCTGAGGCGGGTGCTTGACGGGGTCCACTACGAGGTGCAAGCCACGGACTCCTCCGAGATGGGCTACGACGTCATCCGAGGCCGCGCTCAGTGAGCTGAGCTCCTCCGGCGCCGGCGCGCCGCCGCGACGCGACGAGTCGCGGGCGGGCTTGCGGCGCTGTACTTAGCACGTACTCACCCCCAGTGTGTGTGGTATAATCGGACGGATGCTAATTGGCTCTCTCGTTCTCGTAGTAGGGCGGCTGATGATGCGATCTGACGAGGGTTTGTGAATTTGGTTTAGAGTTTGGCGTGGCGTGGCGTGCTGTTTCGTTTGGAGAGTTGGAGGGGTGTGTGTAGCGTGGCGTGTTGCTGAGGGAGTGGCAGCGGATTAGTGAAACGTCCCATGTCGGTGACGTAGAAATTCCACTGATGATGCTCCACTTGGTTGATTAATTGTTCCAGGAAACATGATCGGGGTGCTTCAAAATTTTGTTCGCCTGCTGGAATAAAAGGACACTTGACACTTCACACCTTCTGGACGTCCCGATCCAGCGCGACAGACCGACAAACGCACGCACACCTGTCTAATTTCGTTCGTACTAACAGTAACTAAGTAAATGAGCTTACCAACATCCGCCGAGGCCGAACCGGGAACAACGAAAAAACAAGCGATTGCTTCGATCTTCTGTTCTGTTACACGAGCCGCGAATTGCAGATTGATTGGGCCCAAATGCGCCCGAAAACTGAACGGACGGCCTTGCAACCGTCGCAGCCTGGCGAGCCGCAAGCACGCGAGCTTCACTGGGCTTCGTTCCCGGCTGCGTGCCTTACCCGGCCTCATCGTACACGCACATCACCATTCACCACGGGGCCGACCGCCGACGGGAGTGGTGGTGGGGGAAAATCCACTTAGACTCTCTTAATTGTTCATCAAATCTAATTCGTACCCCTTAACTAGAAAATTGGACAGAATAACTCTCCCAATTACTAAAACCGGTACAAATTGAATCCCTAGACGATTTTATGGAGCCCACAAAATAAGGAATGGTTTCACTGACATGGCGTCTACGTGGCAATATTGACCTGGTTTTTTGTTGACATGATGCTTAGGTGGTATTACAGCTAAAAACATGCACGTGGGATCCATTCGTCATTCACATAGAAGATGAATTTGTGGGGCCCACATGTCAGTCTATCCTTTCCTCATCCTCCCCCCTCTCTCTTATCTCTCTCCCTCCCCATTTGGCAGGCGGGAGCCGGTGCCGGCGGCGACGGTGGGCGGGGGGCGACGGCCGCTGAGCTCCACATTTGGGCGACACCGAGCTTCGCTCTCGAGCCTCAGTCAGGTCTGGGCGGTAGCGAGCGCGACATCAACGAGGAAGTTGGGCATGCGCGCCATGTTGGACTCCCAGACGCGGTCGTCGGGGTAGCGGACAGGGTCGGTGGTGGGGGTGCCGAAGTTGATGCGGGCGACGAGGGAGGGGAAGAAGGTGCCCTCGAAGATGAAGGGGTGACCGGTGGTGGCGTTTATGAGGCAGTCGGAGAGGGAGGCTCGGGAATGAGCCAGCGCCACCATCTCCCGCGTCACCACTCGGGGGAGGGGCAGCCGCCGCTGAAGAGGAGGGAGCGCCGGCGTCGCGCGCGCTAGGGCGAAGGAGCGAGGCAGCTGTGCGGGGTGGGCGGCCTCTCCGCCTCCCTCGGCCTCCCCACCAGGCGGACGAGCGACGGGTGCAGCGTCTCGGTGACAAGGTTGTGGCGGAGGATTCGCCACACGGGCCCGTGATGGTGTAGCCGTTCTCGCCAAGGAGCGAGCGTGCCACCTCCAGGCGGTCAGCAAGAGCGGCGCCGCGCTCCACTAGGGCCGCGTGCGCGACGCGGCGGTCGGACACGAAGGAGGAGGGCGACGAGGCCGCGTCTGAGATGGCGGCGAAGCGGCGCCGTAGACAGCCATCGCCATCGCCATCCATCGCTGCCACCCGCACCACCGCCATCGCTATCGCGACCACCGCCGCTTGCTTTGCTGTTTTTTTGGGGGAAAGATAGAGAGGGAGAAGAGGGCTGACAAGTGGGCCATACATTTTTTTTATTTTTTCCTAATCAATTGCATGTGGGCAGTGGGCCTCATCTGTATTTTGGTGACTAGGCTGACATGTTAGCATAATGGACCAAGTCAGCATGCCACGTCAGCAAAACCAGCCTCCGAAACCACCGAGGGAATCAAACTGCACTGGTTTTAATAGTATGGGGAGTTGTTCTATCTGGTTTTCAGATTGAGTGGTATGAATTAAATTCGATGAATAATTAAAAGAGCCAAAGTGGACTTTTTCCTGGTCCAATCCAAAGGACTTTCTGAGCTCCCGCACGGTACACGTCCCTCCGTTAGCATCATCTCCCAAGCCGTCATTCGGTCCGCGGTGCGCCGGTGTGTAAGGACGTCGCCTCACCTACTAAGCTCTCAGTGTACGGGTCGGACTTGTACGACTTTGGTTGAAGAATTTCACTCAATCCGCGGGTTGTACTCGTACGACTTCCGCCATATGTTTGAAAAATTTCACTAGTTTGATATCAGGGTTCACCAAAATGTTTCGGGTGAGGGTGGGGTTTTATCGCGGTAACCGCAAGATTACTGGGAAAGTCATATGGTTACCGAGGTTTCAAGAACTAAAAAAGTTATTGTACATGATAACTGTAATAATCATGTGTTTTTTCTAATCCTGTTCCACACTTGATCTTAGAGCTGAAAGAAATGCGCTAGAGTACACTGGCCATGGTAAGTTGGTAACGATCGTCGCACAGAGTGTTGCAAGGGGAGCCGAGGACGACTCACTGCGATGTAGTTTCTGTCATTCCGTTGATACTGCACAAAGTCACTGATACGAGTGAGAATCATGTTAATCATCCGGAACTGAACTCCAAGCAAATCTGTTTCTTTATAAATTATGGTCAAATGAAAAGCTTATGACGATGGGATGATTATTGATTAACATGATTCGTCGTAGGTGTTCAAGTACGCTGAATAGATATCGGCATGAACACACGTTTCTCCTGGCCAAGAAATGCCGCCATAAACAACTCTGCGCGGCAGCGCCATGTGTTACAACTTACAGTACACCGGCTATCTCGTACTAAAACCGCTGGTTTCAGGGAGCAAATTGGGGCTTTGCTCGTAAACCATGCATACAAGTCAATCAGCATCCATTTTGGCTGGTAGGACCTCATCATTCGGTAACACCAAGCCACTGAAAGACGAGCACGGCTAGAGCCCCAAAGCTTCACTTTACCACAAAAGCACGCCCCCTCTTTCCCCGTTCTCCAGATTCCGTTCAATCGATGGGCGCACAAGCGAAGTGCTTACCCTTTTCGACGCCGAAAACCCCATGATCCTCTCTCAAAGTCCTCGCAAAGCTTCGCATGCTAAAATGTCCTTGTGGATCCTCACGCGCCAAATGCCCGGAATTCTCCGAGAATTCCGTCCATGGCGCACATGACACGCTGGGCCGACGACGTTGACCCCAGATGTTAGCGGCAGAACGGCACGAGACCACGAGTCTCTCGTCAAGACACGTACCGCATCTGGATAATGCCACCGGCAAGACGCTCAAGCGCCCCACCCACCCATCCGGATCGATCTGCGGCCCCGTCCGTCCCGCCGCACGTACGGGTGCGCGCACGGCAGCTACACCAACACCGCCGACGACCCACGCACTCACTGACGATGCAATGCGGCCATATGCTACGGCATGAGGGAGCCGGGCAAGTATACGTGACGAGACATTACTGCTGTGTCGCGAGGCCCACGCCCACGAACGAGGCGCGTAGCACGGCGCAAAGGCATCAAACCAACCTGCCCACTCTTTCATCCGCTATAACTGCAGCGCACTACCCCCCCGCTTCCACCGCTCCACGACACCGTCACTCTCGCCGAGCAATCCAATGGCCGCTGCTCCCCACTGCCTCCTGCTCCTCCTCGTGCTGATCCCGACGCTGTTGCGAGGCGTCGTCGGCGGGAGCGGCGCCGGTGGCGAGGCGAGGAAGACGTACATCTTCCGCGTCGACCACAGCGCCAAGCCGTCGGTGTTCCCCAGCCACGCGCACTGGTACTCCTCCGCCGCCTTCGCCTCCGGTGCCGACGGGGCCCCGCTCGAGCCGCTCCATGTCTACGACACCGTCTTCCACGGCTTCGCGGCTTCGGTTCCGGCTTCCCGCGCCGACGCGCTGCGGCGCCACCCGGCCGTCCTCGCGGCGTTCGAGGACCAGGTCCGGACGCTGCACACCACCAGGTCGCCGCAGTTCCTGGGCCTCCGCGCTCGGCTTGGGCTTTGGTCCCTCGCGGACTACGGCTCGGATGTTGTCGTTGGGGTGCTCGACACCGGCGTGTGGCCCGAGCGCCGGAGCTTGTCTGATAGGAACCTCCCACCCGTCCCCTCCCGGTGGCGTGGCGGCTGCGACGCGGGTCCTGGGTTCCCGGCGTCGTCCTGCAACAGGAAGCTCGTCGGTGCGCGATTCTTCTCGCAGGGCCACGCGGCGCACTACGGCCTTGCGGCCACGGCGTCCAACGGGTCGGTGGAGTTTATGTCGCCGCGCGACGCCGATGGGCACGGGACGCACACTGCCACGACGGCGGCCGGCAGCGTCGCCTACGATGCGAGCATGGAGGGGTACGCGCCCGGGGTCGCCAAGGGCGTCGCGCCCAAGGCCAGGGTGGCCGCGTACAAGGTTTGCTGGAAGGGAGCTGGCTGCCTCGACTCCGACATCCTTGCCGGATTCGACCGCGCCGTTGCAGACGGCGTGGACGTCATCTCTGTCTCCATAGGCGGTGGCAATGGCGTCGCGTCGCCATTCTACCTCGACCCAATCGCGATCGGCGCGTACGGCGCCGTGTCGCGGGGAGTATTCGTGGCCACCTCCGCCGGCAACGAGGGGCCGACTGCCATGTCAGTGACCAACCTTGCGCCATGGCTCGCCACCGTGGGCGCCGGTACCATCGACCGTAATTTCCCTGCCGAAATCGTGCTCGGCGACGGAAGGCGCATGTCAGGGGTGTCTCTGTATTCTGGCAAGCCGCTGACGAACACCATGTTGCCATTGTTCTACCCCGGGAGATCAGGTGGGCTGTCAGCTTCCTTGTGCATGGAGAACTCCATCGACCCCTCTGTGGTGTCCGGTAAGATTGTCATCTGCGACCGCGGCAGCAGCCCACGCGTGGCGAAGGGGATGGTTGTGAAGGACGCTGGTGGCGTGGCAATGGTCCTCGCGAACGGAGCGGCCAACGGCGAAGGCCTTGTTGGAGACGCCCATGTCCTTCCTGCTTGCTCGGTGGGCGAGAACGAGGGAGACACGCTCAAAGCATATGCTGCCAACACCACCAACCCAACCGCAACAATCAACTTCAAGGGCACGGTCATCGGCGTCAAGCCAGCGCCCGTGGTGGCCTCCTTCTCGGCGCGGGGCCCCAACGGCCTCGTCCCGGAAATCCTTAAGCCGGACTTCATTGCCCCGGGCGTCAACATCCTCGCGGCATGGACGGGCGCCACGGGCCCAACCGGTCTGGAATCCGACCCTCGGCGGACGGAGTTCAACATCCTGTCGGGCACCTCGATGGCGTGCCCGCACGCGAGCGGCGCCGCGGCGCTGCTCCGGTCCGCGCACCCCGGGTGGTCGCCGGCGGCGATACGCTCCGCGCTGATGACCACGGCCGTCGCCACCGACAACCGCGGCGAGGCCGTGGGCGACGAGGCCGAGCCCGGGCGCGTCGCGACGCCGTTCGACTACGGCGCCGGGCACATCAACCTGGGGAAGGCGCTGGACCCGGGGCTGGTGTACGACATCGGGGACGACGACTACGTCGCGTTCATGTGCAGCATCGGCTACGAGGCCAACGCGATCGAGGTGATCACGCACAAGCCCGTGGCGTGCCCCGCGACGAGCAGGAACCCCTCGGGCTCCGACCTCAACTACCCGTCGATCTCCGTGGTGTTCTACGGCGGCAACCAGTCCAAGACAGTGATACGCACGGCGACCAACGTCGGCGCCGCAGCGTCCGCGACGTACAAGCCACGCGTGGAGATGGCGAGCAGCGCCGTGTCCGTAACCATCAAGCCGGAAAAGCTCGTCTTCTCCCCGACCGCCAAGACGCAGAGGTTCGCCGTCACAGTGGCCTCGTCGTCGTCGTCTCCCCCCGCATCCGCGCCGGTGTACGGACACCTCGTCTGGTCCGACGGCGGCGGGCACGACGTGCGGAGCCCCATCGTGGTGACGTGGCTGCAGTCCATGTGACTGACGACTGGGGACACCTCACAGCTGGTCCCACGGGCTGGCCATAAGATGGCGGTAACCGTTACTCTAGGTCAAAAAGAGGTGGGCCTGTAACGGTTATTTTTTCGGTCGGGATGGCAGTGCAGAGCGCAGTAGTCGTCTTTAATTTTGGTGGGGCCTTGCACTCACCCGAAATTGATTAAAGCGCATGGTGTAATAGCGCAGCGTACAGTGGCAGTGTGTGTGAGTGACTCGGTGTATGACAGTGTGACATAGAGTCAGTATGATACGGTCTACTGTACTGTTTTGTACTACTCGTTTGTTTGCTTTCGCGGGCAACGCTACTTGCCAGGAGCAACGGGAAAGAAAGGAGGAAACAAGACAAAAACTAATCCAGATATACTCGCACTAGTAGCACTGTTTCTATGTGGGATATCTGAATGGGATTCTAAATATAATCGAGGTTTTTGTCTTTTTTCGCAGCAATAGCGTCTCTTCTTTTGTTCGAGATAGCCATGCATGTTTTACATCAACAAGAACTCTCGCGTCTCCGGTGCTCAGATAAAGCACTCGACCTCGGTAGTGTGGTAAAATTCGTTGGATGTTTTATTATTAACAAGTCAGTCCGACTCGGTATTCGGCAACTTTTGGGTCGTTTTCCACGGGCACTTTACCCTGCAGCGCCAACTACGAGGAAAGCAGTGTTGATGCTTCTCTGTTCTCTTCTCGAGGTGGTTTGCAGGTACTACGCGAATGGCAGGCCATGAACATGGACAGTTGCACACCCACTGGAAGTGAATCGAAGGCGAGAAATCACGGTCGATTCTACGGTATCGGCTATGGATGAATTTTGACAATGACCTCCATCACGCCTCCACTCACAAATGTGCGGTTAATTATGTGTTCTTTATCTGAAATGCAATGAATTACCATATGCCTTTCGATATACTAGCATACTGGTAGTAAGCTGTGGGACACTCTATTCCATTCTCCGTCTTTCTAGAGTACAACATGTTCCCCTTAGCTCTGTTTTAGTGCCCCTTTAAATCGTAGTATTAAGAAAACGTAGGAATAGGAAAAACGTAGGATTTTGATAGGAATATAAGTGTAAAACAGAGGATTGCAAAATGCAGAAAAAAACACAGGAATGACCGTTTGATTAAACCGCAGGAAAAACGCAAGAATTGGATGAGAGAGATAAACTCAAAGGAAAGTTACCAAGAGGTTGAAGCTCTTGCTAAATTTCCTCCAAAATCTCTATAGGATTGTCCATTCCATAGGAATTTTAAAGGATTGGATAGGATTCAATCCTTTGTTTTAAAGGGTTTCATAGGAAATTTTTCTATAGGATTGAAATCCTTCAAAATTTCTATGTTTTTCCTCCAATTTAAAGGGGCCCTTATAATCCATGGAAACCATTTTCTATGACAGGATGCAACTTGTAGTGCCTAACAACTCTCTTCCTTTATCTGTTGCGCGCAAATAGTTCTCACCCTAGTCTCATTTTTTTCCTTGTGAAAATACTAGTATCCGTAACAATTTACAAGTTTAGGTACCAACGCCACACTATGGTCATGTTTGGAGAACTAACCCAGAGTTATTTTGAGAGCTATTTTTTAGCACAAGAAAATAGTCCTCCAATAAAATAGCCATAATTTGTTTGAATTCAAGGGTTATTTTGAGAGCTATTTAGCTTTCCTATGAAGAGAGATAGAGAGAAAAGATATTTTTTCAGTGGGCCCCACCCAAAATAGTCTCAATTAGCACCCATTGGGTGGGATATTTTTTTAGGTGGGTTATTTCCAAATAGCCCTCAAATAGCTCACCCTTTTGGATCTTTTTGGGCTATTTAAGCTATTTGAGGGAGGGCTAAAAAATATTCATTGGATCTAAACAGGACCTATATGACCTTTACAAATTACTCCGTAGTAACGAGCTGGCTTGATGGCACGATTATAAAATAAATGAAGAATAAAATGCATAGACGGTCTGTAAACTTATACAGGTGTGTCATCTAGATCCCTGAACTCTTAAAATATATTTTGGATACGTGAACTTGCATCATGTGTCATTTAGGATCAAACGGACTCTGATCTGCTTTGTGTGCTGACGTGGCATGCTATGGTAGCGCCTATGTATCAGTGGAACCCACATGTCAGTCACATATAGAAAAAAAATAAGAACACATTTTTTCTCCTCTTGTTTTCAATTTATTATTTCAAAATTAAAAACAACTTTTTCTCATCTCTCTCCTCTCATTTTAATTTTATTTTTACCTATGTGACTGACATGTGGATCTCTATGACACATAGATTAGAGCCCGTTTAGACCTATATGACACCAATGATAAGTTCGAGGACTCAAAATGTATTTTGAGAGTTTAGTAACCTAGATGACACATTCGTACAAGTTTAGGGCCCGCACAATCACTTCACTCTTAAATGAATATATGAAAAGCTACTCTCCATTCCAAAGTACTCCTATCTCCATCCAAAAATATTATGATATTTTTTTTATTTTCTAACAAAGATTGCCATATTTGGAGTCTCCATGTGCTAAATTATTTATTATTGTCTGGAACCCAAACAACTATCTTAGTACTCATTAATCACATGCATAAGTATAGTTCCTTAAGGCTAGAGGTGCGTTGCAATGAAAAAAAATGAGTTTCTTACTTATTAAATCAATTAATAAACACTTATTTAATCCAATTAATACTATGGTTTTTCTTGTTGAGTAAGAGGCACGAGACCGCCTCGTCTCCCCAGCCGGCACAGGCTTGCCTCGTCACCACCGCCGTGCCCCTGTCCACGTTGCTTGCGGCCGGACGCCCTTCTCCCCATCGCCCGCCAAATGCTGGGCGTCGCCCCTGTCCACGCAACCACCCCTGATAGGCACTATGGGGAAGAGAGGGATAGGGTGAGAAAAATTTCTAGATGATACAGGGCCCGCGTGGATCTCACGCTAACTCGGTACAGTTGACCGGAATTAAAGTGTCACGTCGGATAAAACGTACTGCCTTGAGAATAAATTTAATCCCATTTTACGAGTTGGGGGGACGGGCTGTATTGCGATTTATGGATGAATTTCAATCTCGACAACAAATTGAGGGACCTAAGTGAATTTATGACAAAATTTTACGACATGCATATGAGTCTGCCAGTGAAAATTGGCCCATCCAAGGTGGATATATTTGGGCTGGGATTAGATAATCCTAAATAGCCCACAAGCCACAGCCCACTTCTGAATTAGGCCTCGGAACGGGACGGTGAGCAATATGCGGGTTGGGCTCTTTTGCAAATCAGGCTGCACCGCAAGGTCTCAGTCTCGGATCTCGTTTTGCAAGCCAATGACGATCTCAGTTGGGAATTGGTCTGTCGGTCCGGGGCATGGGCAACAGCCAACATCTAGCTGCACCAGAAGGTCTCCGCTGATCTGATGAACTTGTTCGGCAAACACATGCACACAGGAAGCGAAGGCCATGGCCGCGCCGAGGGACGCCAAGATCCCGGCCAGCCGGCCGACAAGTTCTTCTTCGCGCGCGCTGCACGCGACTGGTGCATTACCGGAATCGCTACTCAACTTACGTCGGATAAACCGATCAATGAAAGGGATTGATTTTTCTCTCATCTGTTGATCCGTGTTCCCGCGCCAAATTTAGCTTAACCAGAGTTCATCCGCCACCAAAAAAGCCATCCATTGGCTTTGCAGCTCTGCAAAGCTAACATCATTTTTCTAAGCAGCCCATTGACGAGCGCCAGCCAGTCGGCGACCAGCGAAATAATAAAAACTGTTGATATGGTCATGAAGAGGCAGCACGTTGCCATCTCCCTGGGCACGTACACTTACTTTCGCAGGACCAGGACGGCATGCGCGCCGGAGGCCAGGACCAGGAGCAGATCCTGCAGAGAGGACAGCGGCCGTCCGGTGGGCAGCGTCCAGCCGCGGGCGGCATGAAAAAGCTGGCAAGCTAGCCCACGACCACCCAATTACACATGTCTTTTTCCTTGTTGAATAGGCGCCCCTTTTAGCTTCGCAACAGGGCCAAAGACGTGGACGTGATCGAACGGCCGGCGCTCAACAGAACGCCGCACACTGACCAGGCTGTATATCTTACGTACTCCGTTCCGTTCCATAGGATGCTTAGTAAACGCCAACTTAGGATGGAAGTGGTGACAAATAAATGTCAAATGCGAGAGCTCGCGAGCTTGTTAGGTGAGCTGAGCAAAAGATCTTTCGTATTAAAAGCTTGAGGCTAGTATTCACGTACGAATGGGTACAGGGCTTGAGCATTGACTGCAACTATTAACCAATCATGAGAAATGGAGCTGGGTTCAATCTTCCGACGTCACATGTCACCACGCTCCAATTAGCGCCGCCCTTTGGATATTGTTCTGCTCAAAATTGAGAAAAGAAAAGGAGTCATCTATTGTTTTTGGAGGCAACTGATTGCAACGTGCAGCATCGGTAGTTAATTTCCAGGTCAAAGCACGAAGCGAGCGCGGCCTCTAAAAACATTTTGCTAAGAAGACTTCGCAACCTACTTGTACACCATTTTGTCTGATTTTGCCATGCACCATCACATCTATCACACGCTCACCTAGAAAGATACGTGCCCCTGAAGGCCTGAACTATTGCTACAGCGTGCACCAACATCACGCTGCCGCGGAGCCACACGCTGGCACGCATTTCCTTGATGAGATTTGGATATTTGGTCGATATCGTCTGCCCCAAATCTGTATGATCTCTTCGGGACAGCGAGTGAAAACAACACACGATCGATGACACGAGAGGGCTACCACATTTTCCACGGGATTTCTCTTTTCTCCGCGGCCAGCAGCAGCGCGCGGCTGACGATCTCCGCACAACAAGCGTCGACCCGCGCCGACTTGTCCCTCCGTTTGATCGCAAAAACCGCCGCGAGGCGGTGCAGCGTGCGGGCGGTGCGGCCGATTTCCCTGGCTCCCGCGACGCGACGCGCGTGCGGCCTGCGTGGGCATGGAGCGCCCTCATGCCCCGCCTGCGTGCGGATCACGGCCGATATTTTCTCACAGGTCGCACGTACACTCCTCCTGCGGCGTACGTCATGCCGGTCAAACCGCGCACTAGTACAGATTCTTCCATCTGTGACGGTCCATAACAAGACTGAAATTTGCGGACCGTCACAAGGAAGTAATCTCAATCGGGCCGAAGTTTCGTCCGATTGAGATATGGTCGCACAGCCATGGTATATTGGCATAAAACTAAAGCTCGTCACGGATGACACTTATCTGTGACGGGCTATAGTTGAGGCCCGATTGAGATGAGGGTTCCATATCTCAATCGGGCCCTAAAAGAAGCCCGTCACAGATGAGGGTCATCTGTGACGGGCTCCAACTAGAGGCTCGATTGAGATAAGTTTAGTGCCCGTCACAGATGACACTCTTTTTTGACGGCCTTTTATTAAGGCCCGATAGAGATTACTTGTATGCCCGTCACGGTTGATT